TTATGATTATATAAATATTACATGGTGCAATTTGTCCCATTACTATCCCCACTACTGTATGTCCTTATTTCTGACGTTTAAACCACCATGGACGGCTTCGGCGCCAGGAGCCTCTTCTGAGTCTGGCTCCTGCCCGACCACCGGCTTCACAGGTGGCCATGGGAAAGGATCGATCAACGGCTGGATTGTGCCATATCTATCCATATCTATCCGCTATTGACCGCTATCTCTGGAGGGTAAGATCCTGTTGTGAGTAAGCATCGCAGTCTCCAAACTGATCCAATGTGTACAATCCGATCTGATGAACATCTGGAATCCCAAGGGGTTTAAGTTTGAGCAATTCTAGGCACCCATGGTTCGAACTACTTTTTGATGCAGATTGGTGCTGCAAACTCAAACGCAGCCCAGTCGCCCATAAGAGGCTCGAATGGCCCCAGGGAAATTGCAAATCAATTCATGGCCTCTAACGACATCAAGCCAGGATTCCTGCAAGATTTTGGTATGTGCGTATATGTGTGTCTATATGCTTGCATGGTTATATTATACATATACAACTTCTCGATAATACGTCGTACATCGTCATGCACAATCGGTCGCCATTCAATTTGAAGATCATAATCATCAGGCCCGAAACAGAAGATGATTCAGATGGCGGGTAGGAATTCCAGACTTGGCTCGTACTGATGGCGCCAAGATGAAACGTCACCTGGCAGCTGTGAGACAGAGGCTTGGGGAAAGTCTCGAAAGTCTCCTTGGGCCAGTCGATTTGGACCAACATTTGCTAGGACAGGGGCCCTCAAGTCCCCATGATTTTGGGTAAACCATGGTAGACCCTTGTGCATGGAGGATATTTGTTGGTACGTCTCTGAGATCAGCCATGAAAACATCATGCCCAGTTTGGATCCTTTTGGGTTGTTGAAGATCATTAAACATCCGCCAGCGTCTTGGCGAAGTTTAACGATTTATGCTGAAAAGGTGATGTTTTCTGGAGAACACCACTTCCCCCTGCATCCCCTGCAGGACGCTTGGCCTTCATAGAAGCCATCAATCAATGTCAACGTGCACATGCCTGGCAGCATGCCTTAAGCCTTCGCCAGGTCATGCTGCAAGAAGGCTATGGACATTGCCTCAGTGGCTTCCATGCCCTAATCATGGCAAAGACGAGATGGCAGAGTGCTGTTGCTGTCTTGGAGGATATGAGGATCTGCAGCATTCCACCATCATCCGTCAGTTTCTCGTTGATCGTTGGCTCCTGCCGTGTCGCTGACGAATGGCGCTGGCCTTTAGCCATGCTCGGCCTGGACCCGGAGAGCCTGTGGGGCTCAGTGGCCGGGGCCTGTCAACAAGCAGCTCAATGGCGATGGTCGGCATGGCTTTTGGAAAAACATGGTGAAGACCAGCTGACTGAGTCCACCTTCAATTTAGCGCTGAGCATTTGCAAGGTGCCCATGGCGAGTCTAACCGAGTTGGGGTGGAAAGTTTGATTCTTGGAACGACTTGGAAACTGGGCCTGCTCCCCCAGTTTCGTCGTTTAATGATGTCGAATGGTATTTTATCATATTTGATCCATTTCCACTGAAGGCCCACTTTCACATGTTCACTTCCAGTGGTTGGACTTGCTGTTCTCATTCTCCCCAGGTGGCGCGCCAGTGGCAGCGGGCACTGGACCTGGTCTACGCCCACCCTGGACGGCCCGGCGACTTTGCGCTCGCCTCCACCATCAAAGCATGCGAAGCACGATGGCAACGGTTCCTGCGACACGTGCAGATTTTGCATGTTTTTTGGGGCAATTGGAACGCGTCCTTGTCCACCATGCCCCATTTTTGGATTATAATAACTGTGTTTGTAGCAGATGCGGAAGTTAGAAGACTTTATCTGAAGTTTATCTAGCTTGAAACTGACTGTGTTTTTTTATCTTTTTGGATTTTCGATGATTTTCGCATTTTTTGCACCATCCTAAAGCTACTGACATCATTCGGAATCAGAAATCATCTGAAGTGGTCGCAAGCGCAAGTCAGGTGCCTGACACTTTTGGAAAGGCAACTTGACGTCGGACCTATTGGACCAGTAGTGATCACAACTGCCATCTCTGCATGCTGCTTGGATCTACGAGGATATGGGCGACCCCGTGTGTGGTGATTGATATATAATTATTATATACAGCATAAAATATAAAATACAGGCCTGACCCCAAAAAACAAGGAAGATATCATGTTGGTCTTTGGGTAAATTTTGCTAAACTGCCGTGTTTTCAATATGTTTCCGCCTTGTTTTCCATTGTACTTCAGTGTAAGACCCTCCTTGCAGATGCAACGCAGGAAAATTGTGAGGATAATGATTTCTTCACAGGTTGCAAATGGTTGCTGTTGGCCACTGCTTAATCAAACCGCACAAAGAGCAAGTTTGCGAAGTCTATGCGCGTTAGTGGTTCCACAAAGCAGGTTTGGTCCATGTTCTGTTTTTTTTTGTCTTTTGGATTCTTTTGGTCTTTTGGTCTCTGATCAAAAATATACCAAAATAATGTTTGTTTGACTGGTGGTTTGAAGCTCCAGGCGTTTTTTTTACATTTTATTACTCTATAGTCTATATTTGTAAATGTGGACAGGCTGGAGGATATACTGTATAGGGAATGTACATATCATAATATATATATATTATAATGAATGCATATATATATATATGGTCCCGTGTCCCGTGTTCCCCCCCCCAATGGGATGGGGGGGGTATGATGCCCCTGTGGTGGTGTATATACATATATACACACATACATACATACATACCTACCTACCTACCTACATACATACACACACATACATACACACATACACACACAGAGACATACATACCTACATACCTACATACCTACATACCTACGTACCTACGTACACACGTACACACATACATACATGCATGCATGCATACATGCATACATGCATACATACATACACATACATACACATACATACACATACATACACATACATACACATACATACACATACACATACATACACATACATACACATACATACACATACACATACATACATACATACACATACATACACATACATACACATACATACACATACATACACATACATACACATACATACACATACATACACATACATACACATACATACACATACATACACATACATACACATACATACACATACATACACATACATACACATACACATACATACATATACATACATACATACATTACATACATTACATACATTACATACATTACATACATACATACATTACATACATACATACATACATTACATTACATACATACATACATTACATACATTACATACATTACATACATTACATACATTACATACATTACATACATTACATACATTACATACATTACATACATTACATACATTACATACATTACATACATTACATACATTACATACATTACATACATTACATACATTACATACATTACATACATTACATACATTACATACATTACATACATTACATACATTACATACACATTACATACATTACATACATTACATACACATTACATACATTACATACATTACATACATACATACATACATTACATTACATACATTACATACATTACATACATTACATTACATTACATACATTACATACATTACATACATTACATACATTACATACATTACATACATTACATACATTACATACATTACATACATTACATACATTACTACATTACATACATTACATACATTACATACATTACATACATTACATACATTACATACATTACATACATTACATACATTACATACATTACATACATTACATACATTACATACATTACATACATTACATACATTACATACATTACATACATTACATACATTACATACATTACATACATTACATACATTACATACATTACATACATTACATACATTACATACATTACATACATTACATACATACATACATACATACATTTACTGTACATACATATATACATACATACATACATACCAACATACATACCAACATACATACCAACATACATACCAACATACATACCAACATACACACCAACATACCAACATACCACCACCGCAGGCCACGGGGGGGGCGGGGACCAGAAGAACCATACCACCACCATAGGCCACAAGGGGGGGGGACCAGAAGAACCAGACGATACTGTCCACCCATACCCATTGGTGGGGGGGGGAGGGGAAGAGATGGACTGTTAGGAACTATGCGACAAAAGGCCTTTAACAGAAATGATCTGGAGAGAGAGAAGAAACATTCATCCTCAGGTTATAGCTCATCTTCAATCATAACTTGCTGCTACGCTTTGGCTCTTCACTTGTACTTAAGCACACACTTGCTTCTCTGGATAAAGCTTTTGCTTCCGAGATCGCAGTAAGGCAAGATCACATCTTGACGCAAGGTTTTCCTCAACGCTACAAAACATCATTTAAAACGAAAACCCTGTTTCAACTTCAACTTGAACACAAACTGCCGCTGGCTTCTACGGCATAAACTTCCCCCCCACATTTCCCCAAACGCTTCTACACATTTCCTCAACTTCCACCCCGCCGACCCCCCAACCCCGCGAACCCCGCCAAACCCCGCCAACCGCCAACCCCGCCAACCCCCGCCCACCCGCCAACCCCGTCAACCCCGTGAACCCCGCGACCCCCGAACCAACGCCAACCCGCCAACCCCCCAACCCCCCACCCCCCGAACCCCGCCAACCCACCCCGCCAACCCCGCGAACCCCGCCAACCCCGCGACCCACCCCCCCGCCAACCCCGCCAACCCCGCCAACCCCGCCAACCCCGCCAACCCCGCGAACCCCGCGTGCTTCTCTGCATACGTATGCATGCGTATGAATGCATGCCTGTATGGGTTTTTCTATGTCTGTATCTATGAATGTATGCATTTATATAGTTAGTATGTAATTATGTATGGTTGTGTATGTTATGTTTTGTTTTGTTATGTAATCTAACGTGACGAAAAGTAAGGTAATGTAATCTTATGTATGTATGTCTATACATACACATGTATTTTAATCCATGTATGATAAGTTTATAAATATAATACTTAGACTTATGCATGCATGTTTCATTAATAGACTGCTCTATTTCTTCACAAGCGCAGCCGTCACATAGAACGGAACAGTCCAAGCCACGGGGGGAGGGGGGCTGGCCAACGCTGCACCATATATATATATTATATATATATATATTGTGTACATTCATATTAATCACATCCTGTACCCCCCATTTGGGACCAAAAAAAGACGTACTGCTCGAAAGCCCTGCCGACACAACTTGATGGCATGGGAGAGGGAGAGTCCTAGTCGTTGGCTCATTATTTAAATGATTAGTATTTATATATACTTATAATTATATTTTGTATATATATATATTTGTGTGGGTGTATGTTTTCTACCTAGATCTCTTAACGCCAAGTTCATAACAGTAGGGCAACAGAAATCAGGTGAGAAAGCGAAGAAATGGCAAGCCGCGTTGCACTTGGCGCGATGTGTGGAGGATTGTGTGGCATTGTCTTCGGCCGCTGGGTGAAGTGGCGATGGGGGGAACAGGACAGGCTCTCTGGCAAATCTATGGCAAATCAATGGAAAATCTATGGAACATCTGTGGCAAATCTATGGAATATCAAAGTGGAAATTCGAAAGAGAAAATCACCCCGAAATTGTGCCAGCTCAAATTACCAGAGGATGAAGACAATGATGAAGGTATGGACGCCCAGCTGAGTTTTATCGGATGTACCTTTTCTTATGTGCATCAACTTGCCATAAAATGGGCCTACCGGTACGCAACAAAAAAACACATTAACTATAAACGTGTATGTTATATATCTGTGTGTGTAGCCTTATACATACATACCTACCTACCTACCTGCCTACCTACCTACCTACGTACGTACATAATTACATACATAATTACATAGATAATTACATACATAGTTACATACATGATTACATACATAATAGCAGACATAATTACATACATAATTACATACATAGTTACATACATAATTACATACATAATTGCATACATACTTACATACATACTTACATACGTACTTACATACATAATTACATACATAATTACATACATAGTTACATACATGATTACATACATAATTGCATTCATAATTACATACATAATTGCATACATAATTACATACATAATTACATACATACTTACATACATACTTACATACATACATACTTACATACATAATTACATACATAACTACATACATAATTACATGCATAATTACAAACATAATTACATACGTAATTACACACATACATACATACATGCATGCATACATGCATACATGCATACATGCATACATGCATACATGCATACATGCATACATGCATACATGCATACATGCATCCATGCATGCATGCATCCATGCATCCATGCATACATGCATACATGCATACATGCATACATGCATACATGCATACATGCATACATGCATACATGCATACTTGCATACATGCATACATGCATACATGCATACATGCATACATGCATACATGCATACATGCATACATGCATACATGCATACATGCATACATGCATACATGCATACATGCATACATGCATACATGCATACATGCATACATGCATACATGCATACATGCATACATGCATACATGCATACATGCATACATGCATACATGCATACATGCATACATGCATACATGCATACATGCATACATGCATACATGCATACATGCATACATGCATACATGCATACATGCATACATGCATACATGCATACATGCATACATGCATACATGCATACATGCATACATGCATACATGCATACATGCATATACATGCATACATGCATACATGCATACATGCATACATGCATACATGCATACATGCATACATGCATACATGCATACATGCATACAATACATGCATACATGCATAAATACATGCATACACGCACACACACACACATATATACATATATATATATACATTTTCTGGTGCCCCTTTGCGCACTTCATGTTTTCTTCTTTCGCACCCAGGTGATGAGTGCGTGTGTCCAAGGGAGCGAGTGGCAGAGGGCCTTGTGTTTGTTTAGCCGTGCCTCACATCTCACTGGGGAGATCTGGGGAGCCCGGGAGCGATCAGATTCCGTTGCAAGACACCACTGCTGGATGATAAGTATATGGGATTACACTACCCAATTTAGATATACATAGATCTACATACATAACCATGTATGTTGGGGATTGTTGGGGATTGTTGGGGATTGTGGGGTTCTGGGAATCCCTAGGGAAAGAAGGTAGCATGAAGGGACGACAGAGGATAGATTCCAACATGTTCATATACTAGGCACTTCGTGAATAAAAATGCGGAAGGGATTGCAAATCTAGGAATCTAGGTGATATTTGCTATTGCAACAACCGCAAAGGGAGATCAACTACGAACATGCTGTGGATACTAAACGGCGATGTAAAGACAGATGTTCAGCCAACAAAAATCAAGGGGGTGTCAACAAAGATCGAGGGGGTGTACGGCTAGGACATCACCCCTCAATTTGAATTACCTATGTCCTATGTCATGATTGTCAATGCCGCCAGACCACCTTGACCCTGGGACGATTCTTGTCAAGCGGAGTGAAAGATGTGGAACCCACTTGAACCCCACAACTCCCCACAAACATCCCTGACAGCAACTGATGAACGGGTCAGTTGATCAAGGAAAGCATCCACTAAATTCATCTATACAAATTATGTACAGAAACCATTCAAACAATGTAAACGTCATTTACCACTGTTGGAGTAGGATATGATTTTTCTATCTTTCACTGGTTTTGAAGCTGTTCAACATTTGCCAGTCGTTTGTTGAACCAATCCTCCCATTACCAGCGACATCACCCCTGCACCCTCCAGGTGCTGGAAACATCGACGCGGTGACCTGGAGTGTTGCCGCCAGCGCCTGTGACCGAGGCACCATGGAGTTCACCCAGATTCAGAATGGGGTGAAGTGGAAAAAACATCTATAAATTTCAGGTGGATTTTCCGGGCCATGTTGGACCAGAGGGTAGTCACTAGCTGGTTTGAAAAACTGAAGGATTTTGAAGGACATCATGGCATGACCCACGGTTTCTCAAACTGATCGTAACCTTGCGATTAACGGCAGTCGGTTTGGGGATGACCAAGGCTACACAGGCACAATGATCCACCATGGCTCTCGTCACTGGAGGAGCCAGTGACGAGCTTATACAATGACAACTAGAGTCATTGTGGAACATCGTCCAACTAGATCTAAAGTGCTTAAAGTGCTTTTATAGTTGGCTTTTACAAACAATACACCGGTTACAATATATTGCAATAATAAGCACTTTGAAAGGCCCTCATCTAAAGACTGGCTTAAATGGGGGTTCTCAGACCCATGCATGGTGAGGAGATGGGTCTTCGGCCCATGGTCCTCAACAGCTTTTAGGATCCTCAGGCCCTCAGGGTTTCAATAATTGCTTTCCTTTTTGGGTGATCTTAACTCTCAAAACACGCCCTCCCACCCAACCAAAAACTATCAACAACTGTATGACTCTGTGCTTCTCACCCTGTTTTAACCATGTTTAATCCATATTTTGGCCCCAAAAAAATCTCCAATCCCAATTCCGCTTCAACGGCAGGGAGCAGCTGGGAGCTGGCTTTCCATCTCTTCCGTGGCCCAGCTGGATGGATTGTGAATTCATAGCTTGAGCTGGCACTAAAAAGCGCCCTTAAATAACCCTGGCATCGCTCGCCCAGGTGAGATGACAACTTGGGGACAGGTGAACCCCAATGTGGTGGTCTATGGGGCGCTCTTGCGTTCCTCCAGATGGAGGGAGCAGCTGGGGGCCTCGGGCAGCTTGAGACATGGAAAAAACTCGTTGTGGGAAGATGTCGAGGCATGAGTTGACGTGATGACAAACGAGGTGGCCTGGGGTTCATTGGGGTTCCAAATTTTGAGAGCCCAGATGATGTGAGCAACATGCTAAAAGACGCTTCCATTAGGTAAAGAGTAGGTTAGTTATGGTGGAATGACTAGTAACATTCGTAGTCTGACAGTTTTGGTTTGTTTTTTTGGGTCATGAGTTGATAGCTAGACCCACCAGAAAAAATGATTCCCGTTAATCCCCAAGAAATAGATTGGAAATTAATCAACAATGTCAACCCCGGATTCAAAAACCATGGATAACCATGGTTTATTAATTAGGGTGGTAGTCCCCAAATAGTGATACTCGAATACTTCAATGGTACCACCCCTTTTTTTCAACAGCCGTTTGGGGTGTATTAATCCAGGGTTGACTTTTCAGCTACCTTTGAGGGTTCCAGAGTCCATTCCAAGACATACTGTAAAAATGGGCTTCACTGAGGTAAACATTTTTCGACACTGTTACATATAGGAATGCAATATTACGATATAACCATCGGGTGTACGAAGTTTTTGACATATAGCATATCATGATAAATGTATGATGTGTGATCAATGATGTAACGCATGACATACAACACTTAATACGTATGATATGATATAATGTTCAATATCGATATATTACATAGAATGCAACATGTTCCTTACAATGTTTAGAGATATATGGGTGATTGTCAGCAAAGTGAAGGATAGGGCGCTGTGTCAGGCTATCCTTGCTTGACCATATGATGGGCAGGCAAATTGAGCGCGGGGCTCAGTTCATCGCTGATGGCGATCATCTTCATGGTTGAACTACCCGACCTGGTAAACATATAGTACAAAAAACGATGGAACATCACAATTTTTAATGGGTGTCATTTTCAGGGCCAAGCGCCTCAGGTTTAGGGCGGTGCTCAAGCGAATCTGCGCGCACACAAGTGGGTCTGGGGAGATAAAAAGTTGCTGACAATCTGGGTAAATCAACTATAAATGGTCATGTTCAATAGTAAACTGTTAGTTTACCAGAGGGTAATCAACTAATCTCTTCCCGACAGTTCATAGCGCCTTAGAAACTCTGCATTCATATCCGATCTATGAAAATTTGAGTCATACGCGGGCTTATTCATAGGGGGAAGCGATTCAGAAAAATATTGATTACATACCTCCAACCTGGCCAGCATTTTATGAAGATCCCGCGGCACAGAGATATCCGTGCCTAGTCAAACGTAATTGAGAAGTTGCCTAAACCATCTACTTACAGAATCCCCAATTCACCATATTCAACCAGTAGAACCACTCCATTGTCCGAAATCGGAGCCTGCTACATCTACTGCTCAAGGTTGAATGGCACCTGCATCTCAGAGGTGGTGATGTGGCTGGGAATTCCATTGGGCTGGGAATATTCATGTGCTTAAAACAATCATAAACCAGCCATTTGAGAATGATAACAATACCACCTCTAAAAATGGTGATGGCTGGGGGATGGATTATGACATTGTTTTGCCTCCGTTATATGAATATCTACTGGGAAATAATTGATATATTAGTGATATTGGACATTAATATATCATGGGGCATCATGGGAACAAGAATGATATGAATAAAATTGAGATAGGATGTATAATTCTGTATAATTTTTATTGAATCTAATGAAAATCGAAAGATCATCTCAATATCATCTCAATATCAAACAGGAAATTATGGGAATATCATAGAATTATATGGGATAACCATCTATAAAGCTATTGTCAGATGGATTTACCCTCTGACAATCATTCAACAAGTTGGTGATCTATCTTCCGGTAATTTTACATAGCGGAACATGGCCGTTTAATTCCTTGATTTCCATAGCTATTTGCAATTACCAGAGGTAGACGAAGCAGAAGTTTCTAGCTGTGGTACTCCATGAGTTTTTCCTCATTCTTGAGAGTGCAAGTAGTATCCACAGTGAATCTATCCAGATCTCTGGATGTTTTTTAAGCTTTTTGAATTCTATTTCACTGCCTGTCCCCAGCCAGCCTGCCACATTTGCATTCTGGATGCATTGGGCTCGAATCTCTGAGAGTGGCCACTTTGGCCAAGCAAAACCCACCGTATCGTTCATATCATGCGAGGGGGCATCGTGCTCCTGGCTAAAGCCTGCCTGCTTTTGGGATGCATTCGCCTGGCTGCAGCTGACGCGAGCTGTGAGGATGCGTCCTTGCTTCAAGTTCCGAAGATCGGTGAGGTCCGAAGGCCGTTGAACCTCGCAGTGATAGATCCTGGTCAGCATTGGTCATGTTTCTTGCTTTCGATACCCTCTGGTAATTTAACATAGCTATGGAAAATCACCATTTTTAATGGGAAAACTCACTATAAATGGGCATTTTCAATAGCTATGTTTGTTTACCAGAGGGTATCCTTTGCTCCAATACATGATTCTGGACCCCTTGATCCCAGCCATTGGCTCCTGGTGGCTTAAATCAGCACCGCAGCGCAGCGCTGCAGCCAGGATGCCATTCGAAAACACCGCATCACGACTGAGACGTTCTTGGGCATGGTCGCTGCTGCTTTGATCTTCCTCACCTGGGAATTTTTCTGGGGCTCGCGGAAATATAACGAGGACAGGGTGGGTTGTGGTGTGGCATGTTCTTTTTCCAGGTTGCTCCAGGTCCAAGCTAGGTATGCTAGGTCAATTTGAAAGCTACCGGGGGGAAGGGGTAACATATATATATATTATATTATATTATATATATACGGTAATATTACATTGTGTACAATTCACCTAGTTTTCCCTCCAGGGGTATCTGTTTTTTGTGGAGCCTGGGTTGATGATCCCATCCGTGATCAGGAAGTTTCGACGGCTCCACGAGGCCTCTCTGATCGATGGTGGTTGGTCATAATGAGCGCCATGATACAGGCTGGATATGGCTGATGGGCAAAAAGTGAAGCAACATGCCATTGCCATTTTTGGTGTTTTCCGTGGCAACTCCTAAGTTGACGGAAATGATTCGAAAATTTCGGGGTGCCACCCAGCTTGATCCTGGGATATCGGTCCATATCGGTCCATGTTCTCCCCACGTTGTCAGGTGGTGAGCGGCTCGGTCTATGCCATGGGTGCGTGGCAAAACGATCTCAGGGACTCCTTGGAGATTTCGATGACCTCTGCCACCATCATCGGGGCCATGACCTTCATGGGAAACCTCGCAGGCTTCCTTGGGGGAATGATGTTTGATCGCTATGGGCCCAAGTCCGCGGTGTGCTTGGGCTCCTGCTGCTAGGCTTTGAAAAATCCCCAAAAGTTGGAGCTTCAAACCCCTTGGAAGTCGCGTTGACCACCACGGAATGGTCCTAGGTTGCCTCTCCATTGGCTACTGTCTCATTGGCGTTGCCCTGGTCAGTGGTCTTGGGAAGGAGCTCAAAGTCCTGCTCGCTTCTCTTGGTTCCCTTCTGGCCGGATACTCCAGTGTCAGCCTCCTCGACAATATTACTTGTATGGCCTGCTCCATTTCCTTCCCCCAAAATCGGGCCGCAGCGGTTGGATATCTCAAGGCAGTCCTGGCAACCGCAGGGGGTCTATGGGCCCTTTTGTGGGTTCAGGTGCGGCTCGTTTTCGACACCCAATCCGGGCCCACCGGGCCCACCATCACCTATTGGGACTGTGCGACATAGGCAGATCATTGGATGCACGAAGGTATGCCAGTCACTGGCTGGCGCCGTATTCTACCATCGTATTACTACTTATTACCTATTCGTTCATGTGTTCTTCTCATTTGAGACTCATCATTCAACTGAACTAACGTGGTAAACCGCTCCAATTGAGGATGGTTGGATGGTTATAAATCCCAAGAATTTCTGGGATCGCTGTGGGGATGCTGGCTTTGTGGACCACCGTACCCGTAGGTCTTCCGCAATCGCTTCGGGCTGGTGCCCTTCATGGCGATCTCAGCTATTGCACCCTTCGTGGTGGGGGTCACGAGTCTTTCGAGTATCAAAGTCTTGCCTCCACACTGCAGGGAGCCACTGAAAGACCGAGGCGCAGATCGCCACATGCTGGAACTGAAGGTATTTTCAAAGAGAAAAAATGGATTTAACTGCAGGAGTTTGATGCTTTTTTCATGCGTTGTTTTTTTGTCCACTCTGGAAACTGAATCTGCCATTCGCTGGGAAAAACACCATGGTTTTTGTTGCACCGAATCCCAGGGCTTGATGTGAAATCAACAGAGGTTCCACGATTTTTGTGACCGTGGATTGATCATGCCACGATGAAATTGAGCACGTCCTGATAAAACAAGAAGATTTGCGGCTGATATGGGTGTGTCTGAAAATGTTGTGTACCCCTATATAAACCCAATGGTTTTGCTGATCAAAAAATCCCTATTAAATGGCTATTTCATTGGGAATATAGCCTATTTTCAGACAAACCCATATTGACGTATGGACTTTTTAATTTGCAAGTTCTGGTGATTTGGAGATGATCCCCACGTGTGTCCACGCATATGCCATCCCGCTTTTCAGAAGATGATCAGAAGCAACCTGCATATGCCAGTGGGTTGGGTCCAACATGGGCCAACATTCTATCATGTTCAGTCAAACTCTACTGGACATTTTGTTCAAAACACATCCCAAACAGAGGGGGTGGGGCTATTCAGCCCCACCAAAATCGAGTCTGTTCACAGCAGGATCCCGGATGTTCTATATGTATCTATATGTTCACATATGTTCAGGGTCATGCACGTATCCCCATGATGTCAATGTAGTGTGAGTCGGAAAAACCCATTGGCGCCATATCACAGTCACGGTCCCGCAAGGCGAAATCGCTCGTGCTTTGACCCTGGTTTTCCTCCTCACGGTGCTGACCTGCTTTGATGTTTGGGCAGGCTATGAATATGCCAAAGGTCTAGGAGCTTCCAGTTGGATCACTGGCAGCATCGCCCTTGCCTTGCAGATGAGTCTCTTGACTTTGCCCTTCAGTTCCCATCTTGCAAGTGGCAGTCAGAAACCATGTGAATTTTGGAGCTCCAAACCGAACACATCTGGACATCTTGCAGTAGTTGCCGAAAAATATACTGTGTAAGCTCTGAAATTCGCATAAGTTTTTCCACCCAGCTTTCAACATAACACAGCAATGGAGAGGTCACGGTCACTTTTTGCATCTTTCCAGGTCCTTTGCTCCTCCTGGTGACCGTGAGAGAAAGCTCTCAGGCTTCTCCGTCTGAAAGGATCTGCAGCCCCAGGAACAGGAGCGGCTTATCCTTTCAGACGGCCTTCAAGGGAATGGATTTTTGGCTCCTCTGGGCGTGCCAATTTGCTGTCTTTGGAGCTGGGGTGGCCACCAATCAGAACCTGGTGCCTCGGTTCGGGATCGCTGGGCGCTGTAGAAAGTGGTGCCTCAAAATGGTCAGGTCAGAAGCATGGGGCATCATGGGGCATAGGGGCACAGTATGGCACAGTTTCTCCATGTTCTCTTGGAGTTTGAGCAAAACTTGCCAGGGCCTGTCCTGCGGGGCTAAGGCCTTGATCTTGGAGACCACAGGGCATGACTCAGCGAGCAGCTTGGGAGTGGCTCTCTTCGCCTTGACTTCGGCCCTTTCGCGGATTGTTGTTGGCATCCTCAGCGACAAATACCAAGCGTACTTCACGCGCTTTCATTGGCTGACAGCTGCTCTGACAAAGCGCTTAGAGAATCCTAGAGATTTAGGCTGTGGGTTATGAGAAGCTCTGAACTATTATCTTCCGTCCTGATTTGTGTGGGGCCACCCCCCTCAAACGAATGCTATACCCTCTTGAAAGAGCTGAGTTTTAAAAGCTGTTCCCCAGACAGAATACGATCATACATTTAAGTAAGGACTTTAATTGGCGACAATTGAAATCTAATAAACACTTTTTTCCCAGTGAACTTGTAGTACTTGTAGTACTGGTAGTAGTGGTAGTACTGGTAGTACTGGGAGTACTGGTTGTACTTGTTGTACTTGTAGTACTTGTAGTGAGTGGGGTTCAACATGTTGATTGCGTTATCTGTTGCACCTCAAGTTGTTTAATTAAAGGTGTAACAAGAGAAAGGGGAGGAGAAAGAGAGAAAGAGACAGAGAGAAAGAAAAAGAGAGAGAGGAGAGAGAGGAAGAGAAAGAGTAAGAGAAAAAGAAAGAGGAAAATAAGAGAATATAGAAAAAGAGAAAGAGGAAGACAAAAATAAAGAGAAAGAAAAAGAAAAAGATATAGAGAAAGAGAAGGGTGCTTTCGTAAAAGGCGTTTCTTTCTTTTTTTGCTCCAGGATCACCTCCGGAAAAGTTTGCTGCAATTCCGAATCTAGAAAACAAACCTACTAAAGTGAACTGGGCCCAGTGCCTTGGTCCAGTGCCTTGGACATTTGTGGAACAGCTGTTCTTTAACAAGTGTTTTAATCAGCGATCTGACCCTTTTTGGAAAGGCAGATTTGCCACATGTTTTTTTCAGGAAAAGTGTGAAGTTGTTTGCCACACAAACATTTTTCTGATACAAAAATAGTCTGCCAAAAAATCTTGCCACAATAGTGAAACTTCCAATTGAAATCATGGGTTCTGGATAATTTGGAAATTTCTAGCCACAATAGCGAGCCTAGCTACTAATCAGGATGCAACATTAGCCGTACTAGCCCTTCAACTCACCTGTTTCCCTGACATTGCCTGACCAATGGTTGCATTAACAAACGCTTGGTAGATCATGGTGAGTCAAGAACCTAATCATGGGGAATTTCTGTTCCCAACAGATACCTTGCATCTGGATGGTGTGCGTCCCCAAACCTGACCAGCTTCGCTTCACCTCCAACAACAACTGGTGGAAAAATATATGAACACCTGGGGAAAACTATGGGGGAAGAGCACTCAGGCTGGAGCATTTTGTGCTATGATTGGCCAGTTCTTGGTGAGCCTTATGGACCTGACAGGCGAGGCTGCCAATACTCACTATTCTACATATGGAATAAATAATGGTATAACGTGGTAGACATGCCGACATGCCACACACTCACATGTATGATATACATATCCTGCATTTATGTATACGTATATATATATATATATGTGTGTGTATGATTATGTATGTATGTATGTATGTATGTATGTATGTATGTATGTATGTATGTATGTATGTATACACATGCATGGGAGTGTGTGAGCGTATGTATGCACACAGACATGCATGCTTGTATGTTTGCTTCTCTGTGTGGACAAAATCAGAGCTGCTTGATATCTATTTATCGATCGATCCCTCGATCTATATCGATCTATATCTGAGTCGATTTATATGGATCTATACCGATCTATATATGAATCTATATCGATTTATATGGATCTATACCGATCTATCTCTTCTATCTCTTCTATTTGTTTCATCTTATCTATCTCATCTATCTCATCAATCTCATCCATCTCACCCATCTCATCTATCTCATCTATCTATCTATCTATTTATCTATCTACCTACTCTAATTTATACAATCTAATCTAATCTAATCTGTTCTTATCGTACCTAACATGTTCATACATATATTTATATACATACACATATTCTTTACTTATTTATCTTATCGATCCTGTCTATCTGTTATGCTTATATATCTTATCCTATCTATTTTATCTGATCTTCTGTGTATTTTCCTTTTTTCAATACACCTTATATGGTTTATCGTGTCTGTCTTGTCTATTATATCTGTCTTGTCTGTCATGTGAGTCATGTGTATCTTATATTGTCTCGTGCTATATTGCCTATGCTGTCTATATTATATATTGTTTTGCTATTTGTCTTCTCTATTTTATCTATCCTATCTATCTTTTTTATCTTGGTTATCTTGTCTATCTTGTCTTTCTATCTGTATCTATATATTTCTATTTATCTTACGATCTATCTATCAACCTATCTACCTAGCGATCGATCCTTTTATTTATCTGTCAAACTATCTATGTTATCTTACCATTTATCACATATTTTCTGATCTCTGCGTATCTATTGCATGTGTCGTTTCGTATGTAGCCCTTCTTACCTTATCTAACCCTATCTGTTTTTGCCTTATTTTTCTTACCTTATCTATCTTATCTTGTATATTTGTTCTATCTTATCTATCTTTTCTATCTTGTATATATTTTCTTTGTTTATATCTATATCTTGTCAATCGTGTCTATCTTATCTTTGGTATCTATCCTATCTTTCTTTTCCATCTCATCCGTTCTTACTTTGTCTTATCTTACCTTGTCAGTTTTCTTGTTTTACCTTCTCTATTGATCCATCTGTCTATCTGTTTTTAAATATGCTCTATCGATCTATCTATCTGTCTATCTGTCTATCTGTCTATCTGTCTATCTACCTATCTACCTACCTATCTACCTATCTACCCATCTATCTCTCTATTTGTCTATCTTTCTATCTCTCTATCCACCTTTTCTTATCGTATCGTATCTTGTCTTATCTTACCGTACGGTATCGTATCTTATCTTATTTTTTCTTTCTATATATCTATCTATTTGTTTCTCTAGTTCTCCATCCATGCATCTATCTATCAGTTCGAATCTAATCTCATCTCAACTATCTAATGTATCTAGTCTATCTGACCTACCTTTCCAAGCTTTCTAATCCATCTAATCCATCTAATCGATCTAATCTATCTACTCCATCTAATCTATCTACTCCATCTAATCTATCCAACCTATCCAACCTATCTAATCTAATCTATCTAATCGATCTAATCTATCTATCTATCGATCTATCGATTTATCCATCTATCCATCCATCTATCCATCTATCCATCCATCGATCCATCGATCCATCGATCCATAGATCCATCGATCCATCGATCCATCTATCCATCTATCCATCTATCCATCTATCCATCTACCCATCTATCCATCTATCCATCTATCCATCTATCCATCTATCCATCTATCCATCTTATCCATCTATACATCTATCTATCTATCTATCTAATCTATTCTATTCTATTCTAATTTAATCTCATCTCATCTCAATCTAATCTAATCTAATCTAATCTCTCTATCTATCTATCTATCTATCTATCCATCCATCCATCCATCCATCCATCCATCTATCCATCTATCCATCTATCCATCTATCCATCTATCCATCTATCCATCTATCCATCTATCCATCTATCTATCTATCTATCTCTCTCTCTATCTATCTATCTATCTATCTATCTATCTATCTATCTATCTATCTATCTATCTAATCTATCTAATCTATCTAATCTATCTAATCTATCTATCTATCTATCTATCTATCTATCTATCTATCTATCTCTCTGTCTCTCTGTCTCTCTGTCTCTCTGTCTCTCTAATCTGTCTGTCTGTCTGTCTGTTTGTTTGTCTGCCTGTCTGCCTGTCTGCCTGTCTGCCTGTTTGCCTGTCTGTCTCTCATTCTCTATCTATCTATATATCTATCTATATATCTATCTATATATCTATATATCTATCTATATATCTATCTATATATCTATCTATATATCTATCTATATATATATACGTATATCTACCTACCTACCTACCTACCTATCTATCTATCTATCTATTTATCTATCTATCTATCTAATCTAATCTTATCTTGGTCTCGTCTTGTCTTATCTTGTCTTATCAAATATTATCTAATCTCATCTGATCTTATCTAATCTTATCTAATCTTATCTATCTATCCATCTATCAATCTATCTATCCATCCATCTATCGATCTATCTATCTATCTACCTATCTATCTATCTATCTATCGATCTATCTCTCTTATCTATCTATCCATCGATCGATCGATCTATCTATCCATCGATCGATCTATCTATCTATTTTATCCTATCCTATCCGATCTTATCCTATCCTTTCCTTTCCTTTCCTATCTATCTTATCTATCTTTTTTATCTTATCTATCTTATCTATCGTATCTATCTTATCTATCTTATCCATCTTATCTATCTTATCTATTTTATCTATCTTCCTATCTATCTATCTATCTTATCTATGTTGTCTATGTTATCTATCTTATCTATCTTATCTATCTTATCTATCTTATCTATCTTCCTATCTATCTATTCTATGACATTATATTCTTTTCTTGTCTACTCTACTCTAATTCTATATTATTCTAGTTCTATATGATTCTCACTATGTATTATTCTAGTTCTATTTTGTTCTAATGCTATATTAATCTAACTCTTTTTTCATGTTGTATTAGTCTAATTCTTTATTATTCTCATTCTATAGTATTCTAATTCTATATTTGTGTAATTCTATATTAGCCTCATTCTATTGTAGGCTAATTCGATTCGATTCGATTATGTTCTATTCTGTTCTATTCTGTTCTGTTCTGCTCTGTTCTATTGTGTTCTATTCTATTCTGTTCTGTTCTGTTCTCTTCTATTCCATTCCATTCCATTCCTATTTATTCACCTATCTTTCTTATCTCTCTATCCCGTCCGTCCGTCCGTCCGTCCGTCTGTTTGTGTGTTTGTGTGTCTGCCTGTCTGCCTGTCTGTCTGTCTGTTTGTCTGGCTTCATGGCTGGCTGGCTGGCTGGCGGGGTCTGGCTGGGTCTGGCTGTCTGGCTGGCGGGGTCTGGCTGACTGGCTGGCTGACTGCCTGTAATAAATCCTTGTGCTTGATTGTGCTCAAGATTCGTGATTCGTTCGACCTCACGCCAGGAATAATGACAGGCACCTGTTTGATGGGTTTGTCCTTTGGGTCTTTCTATACCATCATCGTGCCCATGGTGAATGAGATGTACGGCAACTTGGAGTTTGGCAAGATGTGGGGTGCACAGATGAGTTCCCAGGCCTGCAACACAGATTGATGTCCCGTCCACGCACGACCACCCAACATGATTCGAGAACAGAAGAGCTATGGCGCAGTTGCGGCTTCATCGAGTTTTGTTTGGTTTAATGATACCTCGATTTTTGTGCATAGTCACAGTGTCCTCGCTTCACAACCACTGCTTGGTGGAGATCCCCTCTTTTCAAATCTGAGAATCACCTGAAACTGGCCGTGAACTGTGTGGAACTGGTCGGAGATTTTAGCTATCCTTTTGTAAGGTCCAACGGCTCTAACGGCCATTGGCATCCGTACGCACTTTGGGGGTTTGTTGTTATTTTCACATATTTTCACATGTGCTGGCACGTTTGTGCAGGCAGCAGCCGCCCTGCTCATTGTTTGTCACTTGATGCCCATGGTCTATCGCAACGCCGCGGGCGGCAAGGACGTGCTGTGATGGCTGTGATGGCTGTGATGGGTGAAGCCACCAGTTTCCACACCATGAAAGAAAGCCATCGAATTCCAGTAGCATCAGCAGCAAATCATCTAATTACTATATATTAATATCATTTAATATCTATTAATTACTCAGAATATGTGGGATCATGTTGAGTTCTCCACTGCCATGCATGGGATGCGGAATCTTAATGAATCTTAGCGATCCCGCTCGCCCCCGCTTCACAGTGCATCAATATGCATCAATGAATTCATATGAATTCATAGCACCCCAAAAGAAACAGCTTCTGCCAGATATCTCAGGATATCTCAGGAGATTTAAAGCATGTTTTTTTGCGCAGGATGTTTGCCAGGGGCCAGGGTGTTACCGGCCATCTTTCTTGCTTCTGACCGTGCTCAACGCGGTCGGGCTCGCTTCGGCTTTGGCATTGCAGGCAAGGATCAGCCATGATCAGCCCGTGTTTGATACGCTGCGGGAACGTGATGCCTACTATACTAACGGCATCAAAATGTGCAAGTATAGTAATGTTGCACAGTCATGCATGCAGTATGCAGTGGAGATTAAAGATAAGCATGAAGCTCTTGAAATGAATGCCGCCAGCACCGCAGATGTTGTCACCTTGGGCCTTGAAGCATTGTTGGGCCGGATAAGCGCTATGCATTGCCTGCCAGGTGCGCAATTCAGAGTCCTTGCCTGTGACAAGGTTAGTGACTGAAACCAAGAGCCTGGGCTTTTCCTCCTAGCTATCCTAGTTCGACCTTTCTCGTAGACTCGTAGAAACACGGGATTCAAGATTATTAGATCGCTTGAAGCCAGTGCGCATGCATGCGAATTCCTATCCGTGACTGCATTCCACAGATTCTCCGTCTCCTAATGTGAGACGGCCCTGACTGGACAAAATGGATGTGCGATGCGCCGCTGCACGGGCCGTCGCCTGCGATCAGGGGCCCCCAGAGATATAGCCTTATAGTTTTCATTGTAGTTTTGCATCGCTTAGTTTTTTTTTTTTAGTAGCATAAGTAGCTCATGAATACCTCACACGGTATTGATTCATAACATTCATAACTCATACTGCCATTCAAGTGTTGGATTTGTAGTTGATTTGGCATGTTTGTTCACCCCATTTCATCTCTTTGGAATCATAGCTTGTCAACGCATTTCAATGTCATGCTTCCCTCCAAACAAATGCCTCAGCATCAGAGATTTTCAGCATTTTTTACCATCATCAGTTGCCAGGTGCTCTCCAGCTTCTCGGCTGCTAGCCAGCTTGCTGGGGCTTGCTCTCTGCAGCCCATCTTACTGCGGCAGACGCTGCGATCTTTGTCTCCGAGATCGAGTTCTAGGCGGGAGATGTAGAATCAAGATGATTACATGTTATTACTTATTACTGTTTATTGAGAGCCTTTAGGTTCCTTTAATATCATGAAGTGAAGTGACGTGGTTTGAAGTGATCTGAAATATCAAGTTATACGAAGGGCATTTTTTTATTGAGGTTTGTTCTACTCTTTCAGATGAACCATTCCCAGTTCTCCAGCCTCCAAGGACACAGATCGAATCCGTGAATTTGGGGGCGCTCTTGCATGACATGTCTTGCTGGACTAGGGCAGCCCGGTTGCCGGCCGGGAAAACATGGGTTTTCACCTTGGCCCTGGGCCGAGACCTGCTATGATCCTGTAACGAACATGTTAGAGTTCAAGTCTGTCATGTCGGTGAATTGGCATGACAACCCAAGAACGACCTGACCTGAACATATGATTCACCAGGAGAACTGTGTCAAAATGTATAGAATCTATAGAATTTGCTTCATAGAAACTTGCAACATGTCGGGTTCCTTTTCCATCCTTTTCCAAGAACCCTGAGCTACACTGAGCTATCAGCAGCTATCGCCTTGCTGGGCTTGGCTTTACCACAGCCAGGAAAGGAGGGGATCAGTAGACGTGAGCATTGCATGAGCCCCTTCGAGCGTGCCAGTGGTCACGAATCATGATATAGTTATTGTTATCGTTGCAGCCTTATCTACCTACATCATATTATATCATATTATACATATATCTACATTATATGCCTACTCTTTTTTCATGGATGTATATATGTATATATGTATATGATATATTTATATGCTGTACATCCTCCCAACCACGACACATGTTCCAGATATTTTCCTAAGGCATCTGCAACGATGTACCGCCGCAGCATGGTGATGCCGTCCCGGCAGCCCAGTGATCGATGATAAACGATTGTGACAAGCTGACATAGCCATCTTGGATCATTTTGGGCTATAGAACATGTTCAAAAATGGATGAAAAAGGATGAACATGGCCCTTTTAGTTCGATGATTTACATAGTATGCCTATTGTTTTCATGGTGATTTCAATACCTGTGTTCGTTTACCAGAGGAGTAACATGGAGCAACGATTATTGAGTACAGACAGATTCGGATGGTATTTTGGGATATTTTGGGTCCTTGGTGTCTTTTGTGTTCCGATGGGTTCCTCTCCTGTCATGACCCGTGATTATCAACCATGGGTCAGCATGGATGCTGAGATATACCAAGGAACATGGATGAACCATGTTTATCCAATGCGGTGACCATCTCAGAATATTTCAGCTACTCGAATTAGAACGAGAAGACAAGGATTCTGGCATATGTTGGCTCAATATTCCCGCAGTATTACCATATAGTTTTTCAATATTTTATAAATCTGATATTAATAAATTAATAAATTAATACAGTAATATATAAGATATATATATATATACATGTGCCCTTGGGTGATTTAACAGTTTGCTACAATGCAAAATGAGCATTGAAATAATAGGTAAATCAGGTAAATCGTCGGCCAATGTTCATCCATTTTCCATAGCTATCAAGGCCCTGCCAGGCCTTGGAAGTAACGAGTAATGAAAAGCGGGTGATAATAGTCGAACGGTCAGACTGTCAATTTCCCGGTATATGGGATACAGAACCATCAAGCTATAAAACATAATTTATAACGTTATAATAAGATATAACATACTGCAAATCTATTGTCATGCTCTTTTCTCATATATTGAAGATTTTTGAAGTATATATATATGTGTGTGTGTGTTGATACGTTTTGGCTTGCTTTGAGCCGAGGCTCAGGCCTCAGTTGCTGAACAGGCCACTGGCCGTTGACTGGGATGAGTGGAGATTCACATGCAGACTTGTAGGATTCGAACATGCTATGTGTATATAATATATATATATAGTATTATGACGCATATACATATATATTGTTTGTGTTGGTGGGGCATGCAAGCAAGACTCATCATGCCCATTTCATCACATGTACATCATGTTTCAACTGCAGGGCCCTCTTTTTGGGGAAAAAAATGGACTCATGACACCAGGTGCCGCCTGGATGTGGGCCTTGAGAAGGTGGCAACCATGGCAGGTGGCTTCATGAGACTTGAGGCGCCTTCTAAGGATTCTATGGGATGGATCAAGTCCCTACCAGTCATTGACATCGCCGGGCAACACTTGGTGAAAATGAGCAGTTTAGTTCGATCATTGACCCGAAAAAATGGTGATTTTCCATGGCAAACTGTGATACCAGAGGGTAAATACATGTAAATACCATATCTGGAGGATGAACGGATGAACCTCCAGTAATAACTTGGTGAAAAAAGTGACCAAACCGCAGCTGCCAGGCGGAGTCTTTCGCCATGCGCCGCAGAAAAAAGGGCTGCACCAGCTGAACCCCACGAAAATCAGGGAAGGAGAACCCACAAAAATGGTGATTTAGCCAGCAAAAAAAATATGGGATCTACGGCTGTTCGATGCTGTTCCTTTCAAATGAATCAAATGGTTCGATTACTGTATTTTCAACCATGAGAGTTCTTAGTGTACAGATTGTGCAGTGGTTGTACTCTTTTAGTTTTCCTCCGTGTATTTCGGCAAAGATATTTGTCAATGGTAAATCGGAGAATCCACATTTCAATCCAGGCTTCCCTCGGTTGCAGGTTCGGTTGGCTCGCTGGGTGGCGGTGGTGTCGCTGCTGGCGGGCTGCTCAGTGGTTATCAGTGGTTTGTATTGTGCATTGTTGTGCCATTTTTGGGTAGACAGATCTCCCAATGAAACTGTCCAATCATTCGGTTCCTGATAGACTTTGAGCATTTTTAAAACCTTGCTGAGGGGAAAGGTTGGCCTCCAACTGACATCAATTGCCTCGAGGCCCTTGGTTTTCTTACCTGGCCGGCTGGGTGCCTGAATGCTGCGAGGCCTTGACTGGCCAAGGGTTGGTCTATATATATATATAGAGAGAGAGAGTCTATTATATATATATACTACATCTACCTACCCACCTACCGATCCATGTGTCTACATGTCCATATATATATATGTATATATACATATATACATGCCTAACTATCGATCTATCTATACATCCATTTGTCTATCCATTTGTCTGTCCATTTGTCTATCCGCACGCACACACATATACAATCATATACACACACACACTATATATATATAGACATAGGTTCTTTTGAAGACATTGTACACGTGTGTGTATATTTACTGCCCCTGGCCATGCTGAGTTTATGGACAAATCATGTTGAACCATGGCCGGTTGCAGATCAAGCCGGGAACTACTCGACCTCGGCCTTGAATTTTCACCGAATCCAATGGGTAAACAAGGGTGAATGCGAGGTCAGTTTGTTTGGAAGAGTGTTGCTGATTTAACGCGACTAGGCAGTGCATGGGTATCGATGGAAGAATGTGGTACATCTATGTCTATGATGTATGGATGCTATCATTTACTGTATATATATATAGTTGTGTTACATGCACTTTGAACCACCAAAGTATGGGAAGTATCAAATATTTCTCAAAATTTTCAAAGGGGAGACCTCTAAAAAAGTGGAGTCGAGGCAGTTTGTAGTTACTCAACTCAAAAGTCATAGTTTAAATCGCAAAAAATAGTATGTAAGCAAACATAACGGTTTATGTCTTTTTCTACATCTCCATCTTGGGGCGGGCATCGGCACCCAAGGCTGGTGAGGTCGGCTGGTATTCCTCCAGTGCCCGATCTGGAGCGTCACCATTGAGCCTTGAGGAGCGAATGACTGGCCAAGTGTCATGTGCTGTTCTATATTTTGGTTGAGCCATGGATGAGCATGTCATAGATTTCATTTGGATTTTGTAGTATGTACAGCCCTTTTCTGGTATATCCAAGGTCAGGCCAGTTTTGTTGTTTCCTTTTTACCATGGTACCACGGGCTCAAGATTGATGTTGAAAAGAACAACACACCAATGAATGTTGGGACTAGCAACTTGGGGCATGCTTGTGCAAGGAGAAATCCAAAGCAAGGATCTTGCACTTAGCCTACAAACCCATGGGGAAATGCTGGCCTCTCAGCCATGTTCAGCCCAGATTGAGCAGGGATGAGCTGATGAAAACATGGGTGGTCACCATGTGGTGATCTTTCACAATTCCAGCAGGTTTGGACCTGCAGCGGAGCCAGCATGATCCTGACTTGTTGCACGCGGTGACGTCCTGAGCCAACACTCAACCCATGTTGTTTCTTGGATCTTCTTGGTGAAAGATTGATTTACCAACCCCACTGGTTTACCAGGGGTATAGTGATGAAATATAGATATACTCATGGGGTGATGAAACATAATCATGTAATCCAAAAGATACACGATATGGGAAGCCTGCGCTCAACCGATAGAAGACGAGGGTGCACTGGGCATCGCTCACATGTTTCATTTCCGCTGCTGATATGATTGAGATTTGCAAATTGCGCAAGTCGTAGGATGTCGTAGGTCAAACTCCCAACCCCGAGCTGCATACGGTGCTCGTTCATAGGCAATGATTGCGCGATATAATTTGGGAGCAGCGAGACAGGTACTGAGAAATTGCGATTTCACAAGGCTCTGGACAAAAAAAGTTCTTGGCAGTCAGACATGTTGAAGCAGATTTACTTGCAGACTGATTAAGTAAGAATCTGACTCCTTTTTTTTGCACAGGATTCTGAGCAGCCAGATGTGGATTGTCGACCCTGATCAAGGTCAAGTTGCCGAGGGGTGCGCATGATTGATGTTAGCAGTCAATGGTCTTCCGGAAAGTTGATGGCTGATACCATATTCTGTCAGCTGCATATTTCAATATTGGTGGTTTCAACCCCTGTTTGAATCTACTCGTATATGCTTGTTCTTTTCAATCCACATTGTGCGGAAGATTGATTACGGCCAGTGGACTTTTGGAAGGGTCGAAGTCATCAACCTAACATATTGCTTGTTGGACATCGTCCATATATGGATGTCCAAGTTCGTTTTCCATTTCTGGAATGATCAGCAAATATTCTACTTTTCTTTGGCGCAGGCATGGTTCGAAATGTCCTTCACAGCAACAAATGTTCGCGCCTCAACACAACATGCACCGTGCGAATGAGTCGAAACTGATGCAAGCGGCGAAGTTGAGCAATTTCGGTATGCTAATTATATATAATCATTGAATCATTCATATCTAACGATATCCAATGATATCATGTGATATCTAATTATATCTACAAAACTATATAGATCATTATAATTTCATTATAGATCTAATTAAACCATATTAGACCTACTTAGATCTATGATCTAAGTGAATTCTGACCTACTTCATTTCCTTCACGAAACGCATCCATGGAAGGTTTGGATCGGATCAATCGGATCAAGGTCTTGCCACCAACCAATTCCGTGAACTTGCATTCTTCGGTGCTGAGCGCGGATGCCAAGAGATCTGTGGGGACAGTCGCATGACAAAATACCTTTTCTATTTATATAAAAATATGTGTATACGATATATAGAGAGAGAGAGGGATATATATATATATGATATATGACATATATATATATAATATGAATGTATGTGTGATAGGTGTATGTGATGGGTATATATGTGATGGGTATATATGTGATGGGTATATGTACAGTGGTCGTGAATTCGCCCAAAGCTAGGCCGCGACGACTTCGTCGTCCCTTTTGCCTAAGGAAAAGTCATGGAGGGATATCTATATCTATAAATATATGACAGGTATGTGTATATATTTGATATATCTCTGATCTATATCTGATCTATAAATATATGTATACTGGTTGGTGGTTTGGAACATGACTTGTTTATTTTCCCCAATAGTTGGGATGATGATCCAAACTGACTAATATCTTTCAGGGGGGTTGAAACATGTTGAAACACCAATTAGTATACGTGTATGTGAGTTGTCTGAGTGAACACGAATTTTATTTTTCTATTCACTTGGGAATGAGTCTACGTGATATGTTTTTTTCCAAAAAAATGGGAATAATCAATAATAATAGTCATCCCAACTGACGAACTCCATCATTTTTACATGTTTTTCAGAGGGGTAGATCAACCACCAGATATGACCAAATGGCCCGAGGACTTGCCAGCCATTTGGTCGAGGCGGATTGGACCAAAGCTGGTAATGGATTCCATGCAAAATGGTCATGTGTTTTAAAATTTCCCGTTTTTTTGGGCTATAAATTTTCACATACCCTCTGGTAAATTAACAGTTTGACCCTGAAAATCACCAATTTTTAGAGGAAACTAATCTTCCAACCCCTATCTACCAGGGTCTATGTTAATTTACTGGAGGGTAGATGTGGAATTCCTTCATGTATGGATGATGTTCAGCAATTTTCTGTGTAAACCACGGTAGTAGTTTTTCCATTGGGGTTTGCACCTGGTGCGTTTCACCAACCGAACATTTCGGTGACCCCCCAAGAACAGATACGATTCGATTCGCTCTTAGTTCGTTGTGGTTGGTGGTCAAACGCCCTTGCATAATAAAGCCTTATTATCCAACCACTAGATTTTTGATGATGCTTTGATGGTTATGGATTCTATTGACACCAAAAAGAGTGGCCTCCATTGGATCCAATTTTCTAGTCTGGCAGCATGTTGGGGTTGTAAATTACAACGCGCCTGGGTTTTGGCCCGCAGTTGATACAGAGATTTCCCCACTTTCCCACTGCTTCCCCCATTTTGTCACAACCCAAATGTCACTGGGTGGCAACTGGTACACTAAACGATCCCTCTCTTTTTGCAGGCTTCGATTACTGGAGGGTAATCTGACCAAACTAGTTATTGCACCAAGTGACTAGACTAGAAATTGGATGGTACTTGAAATGAGCATACATGAATCAATTTTGAGGCCCCGCTTAGTGTTTTTGATAGTAGGTAGACAATGGTAGACATAGATAGATAATGATAGATATGGAATGGTATGGAATGATATGGATAGATATGGATACATATAGACTGCTATATATAGAGAGATAGATATAGACATAGAACTATATAGGTATAGATAGATAGATAGATAGATAGAGATAGATAGATAGAGATAGAGATAGAGATAGATAGATAGATAGATAGAGATAGATAGATAGATAGATAGAGATAGATAGAGATAGATAGAGATAGAGATAGATAGAGATAGAGATAGATAGATAGATAGATAGATCGAGAGATCGAGAGATTGAGAGATCGAGAGATGGAGAGATGGAGAGATGGAGAGATGGAGAGATGGAGAGATGGAGAGATGGAGAGATGGAGAGATGGATAGATAGGTAGATAGGAAGATAGGTAGATAGGGAGAAAGGGAGATACTGTAGGTAGATAGATAGGTACATAGGTAGATAGATAGAAAGATAGGATGATAGGATGATAGGATGATAGGATGATAGGATGATAGGATGATAGGATGATAGGACAGGTTAGACAGGATAGATAGGTTAGAAAAGAGAGACAGGATAGATAGGATAGATAGGATAAATAGGATAGATAGGATAGGATCGGATAGGATCGGATAGGATAGATAGAGAGGTAGAGAGGTAGAGAGATAGAGGGATAGAGAGACAAACAGACAAACAAAAAAACAGACAAACAGACAAACAGACAGACAGACAGAGAGACAGATAGACAGACAGACAGACAGACAGACAGGCAGGCAGGCAGGCAGGCAGGCAGGCAGAGAGAGAGAGAGAGATAGATGGATGGATGGATGGATGGATGGATAGATAGAGAGAGAGAGAGAGATAGAGAGATAGAGAGATAGAGAGATAGATAGATAGATAAATAGATAGATAGATAGATAGGTAGATAGGTAGATAGGTAGATAGATAGGTAGATAGATAGATAGATAGAGAGAGATAGAGAGATAGAGAGATAGACAGGGTAAGAGTAGATAGAATAGAAAAGAAAAGAACAGAATAGAATAGATTAGATAGATAGATAGATATACTAGTACAGATATAGATATAGATAGGGATAACACTTGCTACATATAGATAGATTTAGAAAGATGTAGATAGATATCGAAAGATATCGACAGATATAGATGAGTATAGACCAATAAAGATACTTGGATATCGATCGTTATAGATAGATATCGAAAGATATTGCAAGATAGACCGATAGATGGATAGGTACATACATGGATAGATGGATAACTTGATGGATAGATGGATAGATGGATGGATAGAGATATATAGGCGTAGATAAAAATACATAGATCGATAGATAGAGACAGACAGGCAGACAGACAGCCAGCCAGCAGGGCACCTCTGGGGTATCACGGAGCACGGACAGCTGGCCACCCTAAAGCGGCCAGTGGCAGGCTGTGATGCACCGGACGTGGTGCAATTTGATAGGGTTTTGAATGGATTTTATAGGATCTTATAAGGGTTTTAGGATTTGAATTAATTTTAGTGATCGCGTCAGTACTGTTTAATAGGGTTTTGATTAGATTTGACGGGGTTACTTATATATAAAGTCACAATGGACAAGTTTTTATAACTATACTTACCAGTTTTGACATGGTTTATATATGTTTATATGTTGTTTACTGGTTATTTCAAATCATTTCTATTCCTGGCGAACGATCTGGCCCTAGAAAAAAAACATGTCAATTGGGGTGAAAAGACCAATTTGTTTCACTGGAAGAAACCACCCAAACATGATGATTTCCGAGGAACGTGATTTTTTTAGTCATCCTGGAAAATCCATTAGCTGGGTTTCTATGGCTTTGTATTTTCAATTGGGCAAACTTTGGGATCGATGTTTGGCACCACTGGTTTGATGTGGTCCAGCATAGCCGTTCCATCGGCAGGCCTTCCATCGTCAAGGTCTCAATGGATTTCATGGACATGGACGGAAAGAAAGGAATGGGCAGAAAGCTGCAAAAAATCAATGGCCATTTCCCATGGATTTCCTGTAGGGTTTACCATGGTTTACCAAAACATCAACTGACGCTGAGGGCATATTGTGCAGTGCCTGCGCCGGCTTGATCCTTAGATCATCTTCGATCCTCGCTCCTCGGGCTATGCAGCCACTGCCATCAATGCCATCATCGCCAGGGGCAGTTTCAAGAAGACGAACCCTTTCTGGTTCTTCAAGCCTGTTTGGGTCGCCTGGGCATGTTTCAGCAGCTGTAAGGATGACACTTAAAACATACGTGACCCATCTTGACCCATCATCTTGACCCAATCTTACCATTGAGAATGAACATGAATGAATTACAAACCATGTTTCACCCATGTTTTTCCACATGTTGCGCTTCACCGTGGTTTCTCGGAGGCGCGAAATCTCCGACGCATCAGAATCAATGGGCACCTGCCGGGGGGCCCGGATGGGATCTGGATTTATGTGGTAAGAATGTATACAACACGTGTAATATAACATGCATATAAATGTACAAATATGTACAAGTGGGATATTGAGGTAGTGATGATATAAATACTAATAGAATCTAATAGATAACGATTGATATAGATAATATTATATAGTGGATTGATGGAATACTATTGGGAGATTGGCCGAATGTAACCCAATGCGGTTATTTTTTAGCATCCCCAATGACCTGACGCTTTCATGGTGATTGAACACATCCCTAAATGGTGGGTTTATGGCATTGGCTTTGCTACAAAAAACAAAACATTTTATCCGCCAGTAGCCAAGTATTTTAAGGGTCGATTCGGATCCGAATAAAAATAAGGGACAATAAGCAGCAAAAAGCCGATAGACACCAATTCTTTCCAACATCCTAGAACTTTGCTATGTGCTCAACATGGCTTACCTTCTGGTGAACTAACATAGCAATGGAAAATCACCATTCTTAATGGGAAAATCCACTATAAATAGCCATTTTCCATTGCTATGTTAGTTCACCAGAGGGTAATGAAAAAATGCCGTCCATGTTGAGACATGGACGGCGACTGGCTGGATGGTCGGGTCTCCATTTTTTCTCCAAACAAATGATCCGACGATCCGAGCGGTCGAAGATGGTTTGATAAGAAGCTTCGATGTTTGTTAATATATATAATTAATAATAGTATGGAAAATATGTATATATATATATATGTGTGTGTGTGTTATAGCCATATATAATAATACTATCATATAACTTGTTAAGAAGCTTCTATTTCCTCAAGCGAGCCGCGCGCGCTACTACGCACATGTTGACATCCCCTTCAGGAGACTGCTTGTGCTGTGCACTTTGTTTTTGGTTGAGCTCGCTGAATTTGTGGCGAAATTCCCAGCAAGAAACGGCCCAACAATAAAGAGCTCAACAAAAAGTCAACTGCAGGTTCTCAACAATATGCCATCAGCTTGTTTCGAGACTAGGGGAGCCTAATGCGATTCTTTATAGCTACGAACGCTTTTCTATTGGAATAGCGATCTTATCATGAGGTCCCACCTTCAATTTCTAAAGTGTTTGAGCGGGGAAGCGTGGCTTTTTCTGACGCCATGGCTCAATCAAACAGGGACAAGGGCGAGGTGGCTGTTTCTCGTTTTCATAGAATGACTGATTTTATAACCATTGGGCACCATTGATCTCAATTAATTACTGTCATTCTAACGCGGAGTTGAGATTGTAATGAATTTGTAATGAATGTCATTGCTTGGGAAAGAGTCTAGGAATGTCCTTTAGATAGCTCCCCAACATTGTTGCAAACACAAAGACCAAAAGAAGCACCCCTTGATCCATCCCTCTCCAAGGCAGGTCCATCTGTGGCCAACCAGATTTTTCTGTGTCCAGGTTGGCACCGAGTTCGGCCACAACGTCTTGGCCGAGCAAAGGAAAAGACCCAAGGAGGCTGAGCAGCCGGAGCCGGCCAATGCCACGTAGACCCCACGTAGACCCCTGAGTTTTTACATCGAAATAGCTGGGATACTTTCATGGGATTTATACATGTTCATCCCCAAACCATCCCAAACCATATGGTCACATGGTATTTAAGATTGCCGAAAGTTTTAACCCATCCCGACTTATTGGGTACACATGGCTTAGACATTCGACGAACTCCTAAGGGAAGATGCCATTTAAAAGGATCCTGCTAAGCACCAAATGTATCCAAATGTTGGTTGGATATTGCTGTTCCATCTTCTTGGGGGCATCCCCTTGCAAAGCAGTGAATGTGGTGAACCAGAAAGCGAAGCAAGCAGGATTGATGGGGACATTCCCTCCCTTCAACTAACATAGACCCCAAAAAAAGTGATTGGAAGACTACTTTCGTCAAATGATAAAACAATCCACTGGCACAAAGCATGTTGACTGAATTTCTGCACACACACATATATATATATATCCGCCGGTAAATTCTTCAGCGATGGGGGATGGCCATGAATAGAATGGGACCGTTACGAACTACAAGAAGCATTAAAAATCAGGCGAAGCCCATGCTGTAAGACTCTGAGGGGCTTCAACAGGGGATGGTTTTTGGGTTTGGATGTGCCAATGTTTGCCACATTGCTTGGGTTTGCCAAAAGTTGTTGGGATTTGGTAGGTTTATACCATAGAACTAGTTGATTTACCCATTAATAGCATGGTGATTTTCCATAGTTATGTTAACTATATCCCATTGAACATGGTTGAAAAATGGTGATTTTTTCCTTGCCAGTGTTTTTCAGCCTGATCCCTGATCCCCTTAGACTTGCCATTTTATATAAGGTATCCCCTGTTCTTGGGATCTGATTTGATCCAGTTACCCGGAAGATATCCCGCGATATGCCCATGGAGTTGTCGAATTTCCCGGGCAAGATGAATATCCAATGATTATCCTCATAAAGAAAATCCATGACAGATATTTCTGAGTTTCACATGGAATTTCCCATGGAATTTCCCATGGAAATTCCCGTGGAATTTCCGATACAAGTTGAAACAAAAATCCCCGATTAAAGATGGTTGAAATTCTATAGGCCCCCCATCTTTACATCTTCCCAGGCCGTTGAGTCTGAACAGCAACGACGTGAGGCAATGGAGTTTATGGGGAACTTTGGGATACCCGTCGCCATGGGTGAACCTACACTAAGTCATGGATCATGGACATGATATGACTTGGATGATCTTGGATGATTCGGGGGAACCCCAGGAAACCTCCAGATGTGAGCCAAAAATTGATGATAGGACTTGGCGAGCCCTCCGAAATAGTCCGAGATAAGGGCTGCGATCCGATGATAGAGCACCAGCGGTGACTCTCTATGTGTCCCCACCAAAATGGGTATGCCGGCGGTCGACGGCAGTAGGCAGTCGCCACACTCTTGACCCTTGGGGAGCTGGGTAAACAACGCCAGCACGGCTTTGTTTGCATTCATGTTAATTCTGCGGGCATCTCAGATCATGGAATATCATACCAGTTTTTTTCTTAGGAAATTTGATTCTTATTAGGATGTTTGGGAAATATTAGGATGTTTGGGAAATATTAGGATGTTTGGGAAATATTAGGATGTTTGGGAAATATTATGCCGGCGAGCACGTGTTGATTAATGTTCGTATGTTGATCTTGTTGATTAACTTTGCACGGTTTTGGTCGAAATGCTGCTTTCAGATTCCAGGTCCAGGTGCACGCGGACCTCTCCAGTATAACAAATGTCGCATTTGTACTAATGACCTACAGTTTCACTCACCGGGGAGTTTTAACTATTAATGGGGAGGATTTAAGCACTACGATATGAAGAAATTAAGTGTTTAATTCAGACCCAACAGTGATGTCTCCAAATCAAAGTCAGCTACCCCATCGATTGCGACGCATGCATGCATGCATGCATGCATGCATGCATGCATGTACACACACACAGACAGACAGACGGACGGACGGACAGACAGACGGACGGACAGACAGACAGACATACAGACATACAGACATACAGACATACAGACAGACAGACGGACGGACACACAGACAGACAGACAGACAGACATACAGACATACAGACATACAGACATACAGACATACAGACAGACATACAGACATACAGACATACAGACATACAGACATACAGACATACAGACATACAGACATACAGACATACAGACATACAGACATACAGACATACATACAGACATACAGACATACAGACATACAGACATACATACATACATACATACATACATACATACATACATACATACAGACATACAGACATACAGACATACAGACATACAGACATACATACATACATACACACACATACATACATACATACATACATACATACATACATACATACATACATATACATGTCTGACCATATACATATATATATATTTATATATACACATGTATGCATAAACAGAATACTTCCATATGTAGAGAGATGATTATCTACAGCCATTCTCCCCTTCCAAAAGGATCCCATCCTCTTTCGAGGCCACAGAAGAAGGCTCAGGCTGGGACCTTGCGGACCTTGTGCTGCTGATGGTTTGCTGGTGCCGACTTACCCTCTAGCAAACTTACACAACTATGGAAAATCAGTGTTTGAAAAGTATGGAAAATCACCGTTTCTAATAGGTAAATCAACTATTTCTATGGCCATGTTCCATAGCTATCTTAGTTTACCAGAGGGTACAATGAAAAGGACTTGACTTAAACCAGGATGGTTCCCCCCACCATTCTCATGTTTGGCCTATCACTTCCCACCTGAAAGCGCCCCTGTCACAACAAAGAGCTGATCCTCATCCAGGCTTGGTGTTGCTCAACAGCCTACCGCATCAACATGCCTTACTTACTCAGGAAATTCTGCTCAAAATCAAGTTCCAATTAGGTTTCCAACTGTTTCCAAAACCAAAAAAAGTAGTAAGTAGACATAGGATGACATAGGCATCATATAATTGTACCAGCTAGCTTGGATCAATCAAGACTGTTAGCGCGGTCTCGTAGCCAGAACTCGCCAAGCGGGCCATACCGAAGCGGTTTGAAGCAGGAATTTCAGGGACACACGGCGACCCTGTACAAGAGTTGAACAGATTCAGTCAAAAAGAAAGCCCATGGGGTGTATGGCATCCAAGGGATCACACAGTGGCCGAAGCCTTCGAAAATAATCTGAGAGATGAACTCACGTCCTAAGAGCAAGTAAGATACGCCGAAGGCTGTGCAGGGCATGGTCGCCCCTTCCAGTCAATTCACCGAAGGGAGTTTTTTTTCTCCTACGGACTCCAGACATGGTCGGGAATGAAGTCCTTCTTATCGCCAAAATATGTTTGTTTTAAAATATTTAACGCTAAGATCGGGAGATAGGCCTGGAGAAGCGGAGCATGTGCATAAACTCCTGCCTTTGCGAAAACGATGTCCAGGCACACAGGAACACCATGGAACAGCTGGGTGTAAAGCCACAAGATATCACAAGATCCTGTACCCGAAGCTTGTCTCTGAGCCCATAAATTTCTTGTGTTTTACCATGGTTTTACCATGGTTTTACCATGGTTTTACCATGGTTTTACCCAATGTTGACACTTTTTAAAAGCGCTGGCTTGGACGCCTTTTCACGCGATTTTCCAGGGAAACTTCTGACGGTCCAGGAGCTGGCCGTTCCCTCAGATCAGCCTCGGCCTTTGAGGAGTGATGATAGTGATGGAATGGGCATTACACCTTTAACACACGCACACAGCCAGCGCATATATATAATATAATATATATATATTATATATATATTTATAGTATAATAATATATATATATATATTAATTATATATAACTATTTGACTATTTGTGATATGTATGATGTATGTGCATGCATGTATCTGCATACATTATACGTATGACATATGTATTAAATAGGATAGTAGATGAACATGCATATTCTCCTTTTTTGAGATATGATAGATAACAATAGATAACATATTATATATACATATATGCATATGCACTACCTATATTATGGTATATCCATTTGCGCACAAGAATGCACATATTTATATAATATATATATATACATATATATTTATATACACACATAATTATATATATCGCATACGTATACATATTCATTAATCAAATAATTTGCATATAGATACGTGAACACACATATGGATTTTTGCGCACGTATTTACACACACACACGTTTGCAACCTTGTTTTTCGAACAGAGACATGAGACATGTAGAACGCATGTAAATCATCCTTGGCCCTGGCTGTGCGACGAGAGGTACAAACCCTTGGCTTCGCAAGTGTTCGCAAGGAACACTTTTGGAAAAGGCCTTAGTTGACCAACAAAATGTCAGGGGCTGTGGGCCAACGAAGCCAGCGAATCAAAAGCCTGCCATGAAGCTATTGAACAAAAATTCATAAAAATTCTGCATTCTTGATCATTCTTGATGGTTTCAAATACCCTCTGGTAATTTAACATAGCTATGGAAAATCACCATTTTCAATGGGAAAAACTACTATGAATCACCATTTTCAATAGCTATTTTGACATAACCAGAGGGTAAACCTCCATTTTCCTATGGTTTTCCTATGGTTTTCCTATGGTTTTCCTATGGTTTTCCTATTGAATCGCAGGTGAAAACTCCACCCGCAAGCACCGTGCCGTGCGGGCTTCCAAGGTGGAAGTTGAAAGACATCTTTGGAGCTTTGGGGCCTAGCTGGAACCGTTGGCAGGTCAGCTGGCTGGTCAGCTGCGCCTTCTGCTGCGCCTGACTTCCAGGTGGAATATGGAAAACCATAGGAAAACCATAGGAAAACCATAGGAAAACCATAGGAAAATGGAGGTTTACCCTCTGGTTATGTCAAAATAGCTATTGAAAATGGCCATAGAAATAGTGGATTTTCCCATTGAAAATGGTGATTTTCCATAGATATGTTGGTTTACCAAAGGGTATCCCAAGAACTTCGAAACCCCAAAAAAAAACAGTAGAAGGAGGTGACAAACTACTTGGTGATCTAGGCAATCCTCAGTGTGAACAAAAAATATGATAAAACATGGATAGGCTATGGATGCAGGACTTGTCGATGCTTATCTATGATTACCGTTTGGTAAACCAACATAACTATATGGAAAATCACCATTTTTAATGGGTAAATCAACTATAAATGGTAATTTTCAATAGCCATGTTAAATTACCAGATGGTATTGTTTGTAAACTAACTGTAAACTGATTGTGATATCCATCGGATTCTAAGAACCGTCCTGAAGTAGATAGGTATTCCCACTTTGGTGAACATTTTTTTTAAATATGGATATATATATATATAAATTTATAGCCTAAAGATGTCTATAGTATTGTGATAGCTGTTGCAACCATTTGGAACCCCCGAAGCCTGGCCACGCCGCGTCACTCACCTCGCATTCGCAGGATGTGCTGTCGTCATGAGCTCGGGGGACAGTTGTCCGTGATCCAACTGCATCCAAATGTGATATCCTGTCTATACAGTTGTATACCCCATAGGATCCATGTATGGTATATGTATATGCTAACATTTGGGGTATATTGATGGTAAATGTTACCATATATAGCATACATGGATCCTATGGGTACAGTTGTTGAATATATTTCGCACAAACATGCTGTTAAACAGGTGACTGGATCATCCCATTAAATGATATTAAATGTGATATAATAAATACATAAATATATATATATATAATACCGATCTCTATCTACAGTTATCATAGTTCTCTACAGCTATTGCAGATCATTGCAGCTTCATTATAGATATTCAATTAATAGATACTGTATTCAGTCGGATGCCGATTTTCGGATGCGCTTTCTGTCCGAGACCAGCGAGGTTCAGACAGACGCTTGAGAATCAGAGCGACGGAAGCGCAGTGATGCTGTCTGGATCCCGGACGCGACCCATGACGGATCCGGCTGGTGCTGGTACCCTCTGGTTATGTCAAAATAGCTATTGAAAATGGCCATTTATAGTGAGTTTTCCCATAAATAATGGTGATTTTCCATAGCTATGTTAGTTTACCAGAGGGTATATATGCTAACATGACTGGGGTATATTGATGGTAAAATATGGGATCCATGGAGCACCATCTATAGCATGCATGGATCATCATGGATCCGTCATGGGGGAGGATTTACCCAACCTGGTTATGACTAACAGTTCGCCATGGGAAAAAGATGACCCTCATAGAAAGTTCGATGGTTTACCGAACTGTTAAAAATGGTGGATCTTTCCATGGCTATGTCAAATAACCAGATGGTATAGCACCATATAGCACCATTAGTACCATCCAAAAAGATAGGTCATGTTATGAACAGTCATTTGTTCGTGACAATTTGCTGGGATTTTGCCAACTTTTTTGGTGGTTTTCGACCAAAAACCCGTGGGTTTCCTGCAGATTCTGCGCCGAGCCATCGAACAGAAAACCAGCCGTTATAATCCCTGAGGTTTTTGTTAGATACCTACTTTCAGACCCATATAACTAAATTAACTAACAATAGTTGTGATATTTTTGTGAAATATATCAATGTTACTGGATGGATTCAACTTTTTTCGAGCCATGTCCTTCTCATTTTATACGTAAGGCTGGAGACAGACATGCGAATTGACCATCTTTGACCCTGCAAATCCAGATTTCAGTTGGATGATTTCCATTTCCAGATTTTCCAGCCTGTTTTTCAATATCCGCCCTGTTAGAATCCGTGAGTTTTGGGTCACCGAAGGGTGACAGAACATACAAAACGGAGCGAGGTCATCCGTGATGGTGAACATCCTGTCGAACATGGCTTTCGCCGGGATGAATTTCATCCAGGGCGTTGCGGCCTCGGTAGATGTATCCAGTCGCGCCGACCTGGCGATGTGGAAATGTCTAGAAAAACGATGTTCTTTCTGATTAGATCTGAATGTTCTGGAAAATATTCTTAGGTTTAGACTTGTAGGTTTTTTTCGTATTTGAATAAGCTCTGAACTAAGAAGCACTTGGAAGTGGCAGATATGGCAGATATGGCAGCTCGCAGCCAAGTCCAATGGGAAAGATCTGACCTTCTTGGATCAATGTCAGCTTCCCCTTCAACTGCCTGGGGCCCAAGGGGGCCCAAGATGGCCCAAGAGACCAGCACAGCTGACCCAAATGGTCCAACCAGCAGTTGGGGGCCCATGGCATTCCAACACATGACATGTCATCGCATTACATCATCATATCATCATCATCATCATCATCATCACCATCATCACCATCATCATCATCATCATCATCTCATCTCATCAGAACACATTACAATGTACACATGGACAGCTGTTGATCCATAGATACCACCAACTTGCGGCAGTGGTATTTCCTCAAGTCTCTGCTTGGCGCTGGCCGCGGCCCAGCGGGTCCAGCGGCGCAGGTACACTCATCAGCCGTTGGAGTGCGACTCAACACCGTCCAGTAGAAGGTTTGGATTCCTGTTTGGATGCCCCGGTCTGGAAATGGGGAAAAAAACCCAAATAGAGCCATCTGAATGCGAAAAATATGGGATGATGATGAACTTCAAAATTTGGGTAGCCTATTTGACAAACCCATTGGAAGGATTCTACAGTAGGAAGAGTCATTGGACTTCTTGGAATCAGTCCGAGAGTTCCAGACCATTGGAAACCATGACTGAGAATCCGGACAGAATTTGGAGGTCTGATGTCATCACCTAATTTCGCCAAAAATCTTCGTAACTCTCGCACCTATCGCGATTGGGGTTTTCCAATCGCAGGTGTTTTCCAAGCAGGTTTATGACCAGGTCGATGGTTTTTTCTCGGCAGGGCGGATTGTACATTTCAGATCCCCAACTACTTGGAGTCCTTGAAGCTGATGAACCTTGCGGACTATGCCTGGGCCCTGGAGCCCATGTTTCGCACCATGGATGAACCGCACCATGAACCGGGGATGGCCGAACAGTGGGCCAAAGATGATCAAAGAAATGTGATGAACGGACTCAAGCATGTGTTTTTGGGATGTTTTTGTGGGGTTTTTGTGATGTTTTTTGTGATGTTAGAGTCAGATTAGATTACGGAACCAAGACAAGAAGAACTCACCAATTTCGCTGACGTTCAGGTTGCCTCCTGGAAGGCTGCATCTCTGTTCAGCTGCAGCCTGAGTCGGGTGAGAATTCAAAGCCGAAGAAGTAGAAAGTGGGAATCACCGACATCACGTATAATTGAATTATAATTATTATATATGTATATATAAGTATAGATTATTTTTATGTAAACTAATGCTGTAAACTAAACTATAGAATTACAGTTGTGTTTTTTTTTGTGTGTGTGTGCGTGTTTCTTTTGCAAGCTTTTGATCTTGGCTGCATTTTCCAGATCATATTCCTCGGGACTTTTGACTGAGAAGAAAGGTAAATCATGGTTTTTGGGGGTAAGAGTTGATCCTTCAAGATGTTTGCTATCAGACCTGTTTTTTTTTCTGAAAAGTTTCTGAATCGATGGCGGAAGGTTTGGGTCCCGTTGGGTTGCTGGATCTCAGCTGAGCCACGTTTTTTTCCCAGATGATGGAATTTAGATTGGAGAGGAACTCACATCATTCGTGCGTAGGCTATTCCGCTTGGTGCGTAAGTCCTGCGTAGGCATATACGTAGGATAATGTGGGAGGGGCTGCGTAGGCAGTCTCGCGTAGGCGCTTGTTTAGATGTTCTAGATTGTTTGTTGCTGACCTCGAACTCTTGTTTTTCTTGGTGGCTTACAATGATTTTAAATGCAAACTGGATTGTGTGATTCATATGTTTAGCTGGAAGAAAGGGGAGATTAAAGAAACATAAGAAACAACCGCTTTTTCAGAAAATTACAAGTGCCAAGTTTTCGGAAAGCCATTTTCGGTTCGGATTTTCGCGTAGGCTCCGTGTAGGCCCTCGTGTAGGAAACGCGTAGGCCCTTGTGGCCCGTAGCCCATCAAAGTCTTACCGTTTCACTTTTCACTTTTCTAATGTTTCCATTAGTTCATCATGACTGCCGATCACATCATGACAAAGTGCTCCACTCTTGATGAGGCTTCCGCCTTCCTTTCATAAGTCACCCAAAGAATCGTCATCTTCCAATTTTTTCTATTCCTCTTCTGAACCAGAATTGTGACCACATCACGTCAAGTAAAGAGATCGTTACAGCAACTTTCGCGGAGGCAACCGCGTAGGCACTTCTTGAAAGGTAACCCTCGCCTAGGCAGTCTTGCATGGGAGGAGTGGTTTGCGTAGGCCCCGCGTAGGTGTCCTAATTTGTGTATTGCTGTTTAGCAAGGAAAAAACTCACAACTCAGCTCAGGTTCCTTCAAAGAGCTCTACACGGCCGAGGAGGTGTGGCAGATGACTTTGTGGGTTTTGCATCCAGAATTGGGCAGACAGCGCCCGCAAGCGACGACTATATATATTTGCATATAGTGCTCTTGGGCAGGTTTGGTGTATGCTGCTCATTCAATTGTGTCAGACATGCATCTATGCCAACTGTTACATTTTGGTTCAAAGTATTTCCCAAAATGGCTAACATCAGGGAGAATCTCTGAAGAGAGAATCTCTAAGGTCGAAGACCGACTGTTGGCATAATTTGTTGTTTTTGCCAATTCAAAGTGATGGATGTTGATGCTGTGGTCAAAGCTTGGCGACAGGTCAACGGAGTTACTCACGATGGTGACTTCGCATATTTTTTCTCTACCATGGGAGAAGCCCAGGCCGAAGCCGGAGAGCTCGTCGCCAACGCTTGGCGGGATGTCCGTCGCCGAGTGTCATCGGGAGTTGACAGGAGTCTAGTCGCCCTCCTGGAACGGGAGACCCGGGCCGCCCCTGTCCCCGCAGTGCGGCAGGCACAGCCAGTGGAGGAACCACCAGCGTCAACATCCAGAAAGCGCCCAGCGCCTCGTGTCGTCCGAGCCGTGGAGAAGCCACCGCCTGACCTGGAGAAGTATAGGCCTTTCTTGCAAGAAATTGGGCAATTGGCCAGTTGGTTCCAGCCAGGTGCAGGGGAAACCGCAGACCAGGTCACGGCAGCGATGCAACCGCTGCTCACCCAGCTGCTGAATCAGACCGAGGGCGCAACCCTCCAGCGTGTCAAGCTGACATGGTTGCAGTTGGGCAGTTGGGCTGATGAGCAAGGATTGAATCTCAGCCATCTTTCTGCAAGCCAGCTGGGCAGATGGTATAGCTCGTGCAATGCACCGTCTCGAGCTCTGCCCGCATTGCAGTGGATTAAGAATAACATGCGGGTAGCATGGGACCTCAGCCTTTGTGTAGGCCGAGTTAGAGCAGCCCGAGGGCATCATGGGGTTGGTGCTCGGCAAGCGCCCACAGCAGAACCTGCCATGTTTTTCCACTTGATGGACGCCCTGGATTATGCTGTGCGTCGTCACACAGCAGCTGCACCGGCTTTGGTAGTCACCTACCTGCAAGTTGCAGGTTGCGTCCGCATGGCGCACGTGCAGAGGTCCAGCATTGTGAAGTGCACTGGTACAACACTGCACTTCATCTGCCCGAAAGGCAAGCAGAAAGGACAGAGGCAGGGGTTTGTTTGGACCGCGCCTCGGGTCATTCCGACCGGAACGTTAGCCTCTGACCTTGACCTCGCGCCATGGTTTAAGCGCCATCTGATAGACGAGCAGGCCGAGGCGATTGGTTTCGACATCCTCACCAAGAAGAAGCTGACAGCAAAGTCAATTACTGATACTGTGAAGCTGGTGATGCGTGGCGTTGTGGAGGATGACCAACTGGGCATGCTTTCCAGCAAATCTTGGCGCCAGGTGCCCGTGACATGGGCTCACCTTGTGCAACTTCATCCAGCGTTGACAGTAGCACTGGGTAATTGGACTGACAAAGCTCCTGACCAGAGCCGTAGTCAGATGCCTTTACGGTACACTGGATCGAAGCAGTATCAGAGTGACCTTGCCAAACAAGCTTTTATTTTGTTCATGGCTGCTGCAGCCCAACAGCGTGAACCTTTCACCCGATGGGTCAGTATGACGCAGATCACCTACACCACTTTGAAGGAGGATAGCTTTGAGAAAGCCTCAGCCATGCTTCAACAGCCTGAGGCGGTTTTTTTCTCGGCCCAAAGCGAGGCTGATGCCAATTCACTGACTCAACGTTATTTCACGATTCGTGTTCGAGGACTCAGAAACCGTGTCCCCATTTTGCCTGTGGCGGGCTTACAGTCTGCAGAGAATCCGCATCTGCCAGTCGAGACAGTTTCTCCTGGAGCAGCCGATGCTGCTGAACCAGCGGAGGTCGAAGATGAATTCTTCGACAGTCTGGCACTGCAGCGTTGGAGCAGACCAGGCCACGGAGATGGGCCAGAGCCCCCGACTGTAGTGTACCGGAAAGGTACTTCGGAGAGCGCCCCGGTTGTGATCCTTGGGGGAATCCCAGGCGAAGCTGATCTTGCCATGTTGGAGAGACACCGGGTCAGGCTGGTCGTGACCTGTTTTGCGCAGTCAGCAGTGGGTAAAGGGGCCGTCTTCCCCAAAGACGCCTGCGTTCGTCACTGGGTGATCTCGAGTCCAAAGAAGAGAGATCGTGACTGGGCAGAGCTGCGTCCACTGCTCCAACCCACACTTGAGCACAATTCATCGATTTTTGTGCACTGCATGGCTGGAGTACACCGAGCACCGGTTGCTACCGGCATAGTTGTCTCCACCCTGAAAGGGCAGAGCCTGGACCAGACAATGAAGCACATCGGACGGCTCCGAGCCATTGAGGGTCACAAGATGTTGGGGCCGGCAAAGGAAGAATTCACAAAGTGGGCCAATGATAAGGCTGAAGGCGACCGATTGCCGCCGAACTATGCCCGTGTGCCCCTCCAGTTTATTTCAGCGGACCAGCCCAAAGCTCTGTGGCACCTAGTACCTGTCAATTTTGATCCCCAAGTACCCAAGCCACTCTGCCAGTGGAAAAGGACACAGACGTCGTTCAAAGGGCAGACAAGTTTGGCCAACTCAGTGCAGGAAGCACTGGTGTATGATCGGCCCTTTTGTTCTAGTTGTGCGAAGCACATGCCTGCGGGAGCTCTTGGAGAGCTTGAGAATGCAGCAGTCTCCTGGCGATCGCGTTGACCTTGGCACGGTGTTCAAAAACGCGATGAGTTAGTGGCAGAACGGGTCTATTTGAGTAGTCATCACTCTTGTCATGTTGCGCTTTGTTCATTGAGGGCATAGTATGCTGTAGTTTTCTTTTCTAAGTCAGAGTAATCCCCCTCCGTATCATGACCTAGGAGGTTAATCCGACGCTGCTGCTCAGGAGCCGTACCTGTTGCTGGACTACTTGGTCGCTTGGACCCTTAACTTAGATGAGGGCACAGGGCTTCGTTTGCAAGCAGCTGTTGAATTAGTTTTAGATGCAGTTCAATCTCTTGTCAGTTTTTATCTTTGTCTTCAATATTATGATCAACCTGCGTTGACAGTGTTCCGTGAGTCTCTGAGTGATCTGAGTTGGACGCCCGTGTTGTAGCCGGACAGTCATAGGCATGAAGTGCCACAGATCATTGCTAGCTGGGACCTCCCGTGACTGCGTACAGGTAGCAGAGAAAATGGAGTTGATTTTCCTCGTGGTGGAGAACCCACACCAGGACAGAGAGCTGAATGCTCACCGGGAAGGGACTTGTCGGAATGACAAAGCTTCCATTTTGATGTCATTTTGCAATCCCAGCTGAGGTCGATCACATGTTTTGAGTTTTCCCATTTAGGCTGAGTGTCTGCTCTGTTGTTGCACGGAAAAGGTAGAGAAGTTTTGCTCAAAGATCGCGGGAGTGTCGGACGGTTGCCTCAACCATGGCCTCTGCCCGTGCTACGTTCGTTGAGCTGCAGCAGTTGTACAATTTCGACGAGAAGATTGTCGACAAGATAGTCGCCTCAGGGGTGACGTCACTGAGTGAGTTTCGTTTCTTTTGCAAAGACGAAGAGGATGTAGTCACTACCTTCATCACGCCCTTGGGGCTCGAGAATGAACGCCTGGAGGGCGCTCGCCTCAAAAGGGCATGGGCCGCAGTAGTGACTGCAGAGAAGGCTCGGGAGGCCAGCCAAGTGGAGGGAATCCCGCTGGAGGAGGATGAATGCCTCCCAGCAACCACTTTGGCAACTATGAAGGAATCTTTTTGGAAGCGGTATCACTGGATGCCTCCTCCCGAGCAACAGCCCAGTGACAAGTTGCTCTCCAAAGTCAAAAGGTCGCTTGAAAAGAAGAACATTGAAGTGTTGAACATGTTCCAGGTGAAGTCCTTAGTCAACCAGCGGCAGGGCACCACCAAGCGTCGCAAAGTCGCCCCCAAAATCTGGGTCGGCGAGGATCCCGAAGATGACGAAGTCGCGGTTGAAGATGTTTGGGCCTACTTGGACAACATGTTCATCTACATGGTCGCGCTCGCGATGGCAGGGGTGACAGCAATTATTCAGCCGGCGCCAACAGCAGCAGAAGGTCCTTCCACCAACTCCTGTGACTATGTGGAGTTCCCTTTGGATTTGGCATGGAAATACCATTTCCGGGCCGTGCAGACCGTGAAGAAGATCCCTGAGAGGGCGCGTTTGCCCCACGTTTCATCCCTGGACTTGCAGGAGCGAGCGTTGTGGTGCCAGAAGTACGCCACAGGGACAGAGAAGCTGGGAGCTATCGTCCTGCAGATTTACACTGAGAGAGATGTGCATTGGGCAGCTGCTACCCTCTTGCCTTCTCAATCTGGAAGACTTTCCATGGCTCCGCCTGAGCCGGCGGTGGCCCCGAGAGCTCCTACAGCGGCCGTCTCTGCGCCGTCGGGCAACAAGTTGGCAGCCACCTTTCGAGATGGAACTCCGCTATGTGAAGCATGGAACCAAGGACGCTGCCCCCACCAGAAGGCCAGGAATTGCGCGAATGGTGAACATCGTTGCTCGCATCGCCTGAAGAGCGGCCGTGTCTGTGGCGATCCGAATCATGTAGGGTCCAAGTGCAAGAATCGACAGAAAGCCTGAGAGCATCTCAGTGACGTCTCACCACTGGAGAATCCAGAAACAGCTGACGCCCAAGGCGCTCTGGATGAATTCCAGTTGCATGTCCGCTCCTTGATGGAGCAGTGGTCAGAACAGTGTACCACGGATGACAACGGGCCTGAATTGCCTGTCTTTTTAGATATGCTTAGTGGGCCGAAGTTCCCACTGGCTAAGGCATTTGAATGGGCTGGTTGGAAAGTGGTGCAACCGCTAGATATCCTGATCGATCCTGAATTTGATCTCACCAGCAGCACCGTGCAGAAAGCCGTTGCCAAGATTTTGCCACAATGCCATGCAGTCAGTGCCGCCATGGACTGCAGCACTAAGAGTCGCATCCGTGAAATTGCCCTGCCAGGATCAGCCGGGCCACGGCCACTGCGTTCCCAGAAGTTTCCGAGAGGACTGCCGCACCTGAAAGGTAGGGACCGTGACAGAGTTACCAGTGACAACAGCTGCAGTGATTTCCTGCTAGCTGTGCAGCATGTCATGCACTTGAAGTCCAGGGCAGCGTTTAGGGAGAATCCCCGCCGCAGTCTACATTGGGTTGACCCTAATGAGGTATGGATGCAACAGTATGGTGGGTGGTTTGATTTTTTGTATGACAATTGTTGTTTTCTGGCGGCTCGGAAGAAAGCCCAGACAATCAGGCACAACATAGAAGAGATGAGAGTGTTGCCTGATCTGACATGCGGTCATTGGCATAATGAGACCGACTGGAGGCCTTACTTAGTCCGAGGCAACTGGTGTTACCCAAGTGCTGAGGAAGCCGAATACCCTGCTAGCTTGGTTTTTACTCTTGCAGTCTGTTGTTCCCATTGGGCAGCCAATCGGGGTTTTGGAACCTTGCGCATCTCACGTTTGCCGCCTGTTGAATGCTCAGGTGACCGAAGAGAATGGACGTCATGGGACTCAGCAACCTTCAGGGAGCACTCTATGGTGCCTATGGCCGTCGCCCTAGGTTTGACCCCAACAGCAGTTTTGGGTCTCCCCAAGAGAGTGCATGTTTTGGATGTCATGGAATCAGGGCAACTTCCTCAAGATGTGGTGTATGCAGGCCATGGACATTTTTCACACAGGCTTAGCCCTACCAAATGGGAGAACCCTTTTGTTGAAGGCAGAGATGGAAGCGCCGCTCAAGTTCTTATGAAGTTTATTGCTCATTGGAACGAATTCCAATTGGAGCAGTTTCTTCCTGGGCTCACAGGGTGCAGGATCGCATGTGACTGCCTCAGTAACGAGACCTGCCATGTTGACGTGATCATTGCCAAGTGGTTGGAGGCAAATAGCAGGGGACAGCCCCAGCGATTGGGTCACAGGTCAGTGCAGCTGACCAGTGGACGGGTCTGGATAGCAGCAGTTAGAGTAGTCCATGCTGTGCCGCAGATGTTTTCACAAGCTGCTGCAATGGCAGCCATTCGAGGGCAATTCCCAATGTTATCATTTCAGGATGTTAAGTGGCCTCTGCTGGAAGACATCATTAATTCAGCGCCTTTCCAGAGTTTTCGAATGTGGTTGTCAGAGAATGGACAAGTGGCTGATGGGCCCATAGGATCCAGTATGCTCAACCGTACTGGGACAGTTGTTTTTCGTGCCGGCATGGCAGAGCAAGCAGGTGCTGGTGCTCGCAAAACAGCCGCCCCCCCTGTAGTGCCGTTCAACTTAGCCCCAGATGAGCATTTCGCTGCATCGCTAAGGGTCCAAGCCGACGGAGGACCGCTCGATTTCCCAGCGCCAGTGGACTTGGACATCGCCTTTGCTGCACAAGGCATGGTGCAGGAGTTCAGCAGCTTGACAGCTGCCAGGCAGTTTGCTGTCGAACAGCTCCGGGCCCTCAGTTATAGGTTGCAAGAAATTTCTGAGTACATCCGTAGCATGCAAGTGCCAGTGTTGCGAGACGTGAATCCTAGCGTTCATTTCAGCCTTGTAGCCTTGCTTATTGCTATAATCCATTGGCCTGATACTGGGTTTTGCCAAGCTCTTTTCAATGGCTTCCCAGCCGTCGGGTTTTGTCCGCCTTGTGGTATCTGGGACACCCAACCTGCTCAATTTGTTTCCTTGGAGGATGCACTTGCAGGAGGACCGCGGGACGCCCAGGATTTGCTGAAGCAATTGCAGGTCTCCGAGCTGGAGACAATTGAAGAAGCAGGTCGGAAAGACCAAGCCAATGGATGGTGCTCCGAGGAATTCGGATGGGATGAACTGCAACGCAGATTTCCATCATATAGGCTGATTAGAAGATTCGTCATTACACAAGCTTCTGGGAAGAAGCGGGTAATTGATGATGCTGCAGCTGGGGGGCAAAGTCTCTGGAGTGCAGATTCCAACAAGCTCCAGTTCTGTAGCGCGTTGCAACCATGTGCCCATGTCCAAGCCCTAGCACAAGCCTGTTCGCATGCAGGGGAAAGTAATCTGCTAGATGATGTCGTTACATGTGGCGAAGATTTGCCGGACGCCTACAGGAAGATTCCCATGCAGACATCTCACCATGCAGCATGTATTGTGACGTATCCCAACCAGATGGGTAGACCAGTTTTCAGGCAGTACTATTCCATGCTGTTTGGCCTCCCATTGGCCGTCACTGCTTTTAATAGATTGCCTTACCTGTGTCAAGCCATTTTACGCCGCTGCTTCAGGTTGATGGCCAGTTTCTACTACGACGACTGTACCCTCCAAGATTGGAATAGTCATGCAGCCGCAGCCCAGCAGTGCATGTGCACAGCTATGGAACTGCTAGGTTACCCTTTTGCTGAAAGCAAACGGCAGAATCCTAACTCTCAAGGAGATTTCCTTGGTTTAGTCCATGACTTTGAGGACATTCGAACACATGGTGTAGTCCGTTTGTGGATCCGTCCCCGGCTGCAGGAGAAGATTCTGGACATCATAGCTACCGCGCGGAGAGACGGGACATTTCGTGCTGGCACTGCAGCGAAACTGTACGGATGTGTCACTTTTTTGGACCAGGCTGCATTCGGCAAGATAGCCAGGGCAGGACTTGCAGCCATCAAGGATAGGCAATATCTGGATACCACAGCCCACTTGACTGACGCCTTGTTGCAGGCATTCCAGGTAATCGAGGACATCTTTCGGTTGAATCCCAGGAGGATAGTGTCACTTTTTCCATTATCAACCCCTCGCATGACAGGAGCTTCGGATGCTGCGCAAGAAGAGGGTTTTGGTTCAGGAGGATTCCTGTTGAGTGACAAACACTGGGTTCGCCGTGGAGCCGAAGTGGTGATCACTGAGGATGTGCTCAGCCTTTGGAGACCTCAGGATGTCCTCATAGCACAGCTTGAGTTATTAATGGTTTTTCAGGCCATAGTGACTTTTCCTGATGCTTTCCGTTATGCCACAGGCGTATGGTATATTGACAATATTGCTGCCTTAATGAGCTTGGTACGAGGTCGATCAGATAATCCAGACCTGGAGCGCATGGCCCAAATGATTCATCTGGCTCTCTTCCATCTCCATTGCGGTCTATGGTTTGAATGGGTACAGAGTAAGTCGAATTGGAGTGACGGCATCTCACGCTTTGGGCTTAGAGATTCGTTTGTGATCCACCATAGTTTCACATGCCATCGCACCCGAGTGGTTACACAGCTATGGCAGCTACCAACTTTCCCCCTCAGCAAAGTCTTCAGTTACCTTTAATTAATGCGTTGGGAAAATTAGGAAGAAGTGCCTTGGGTGTATGCGTGAATCGCGCGGCTGTTGTCGACACCCGTGATGGGTCCCTACCAACTGGGGGTAACCAACGCATTATGGCAGAAGGCCTTTACCCCTGAATGGGGAGCGACCAGAAGACAGGCTGGAGGAAAAGTAAAGCGCTGCGTTGCAGTCTTTGATGTCCTGATCCCATTGAATGTATTTGCATATAGTGCTCTTGGGCAGGTTTGGTGTATGCTGCTCATTCAATTGTGTCAGACATGCATCTATGCCAACTGTAACATTTTGGTTCAAAGTATTTCCCAAAATGGCTAACATCAGGGAGAATCTCTGAAGAGAGAATCTCTAAGGTCGAAGACCGACTGTTGGCATAATTTGTTGTCCCAACCCTCCCAAACCCACGGCGTCACCAACCCAATGGTGGCAGCCGATTCCTACGTGCAGTAGCGCCGTAGATGATGAGGAACACCAGGTGTATGCGTGGGAGCATGGTTTTACACCCGGGTGTATGCGTGAATCGCGCGGCTGTTGTCGACACCCGTGATGGGTCCCTACGAACTGGGGGTAACCAACGCATTATGGCAGAAGGCCTTTACCCCTGAATGGGGAGCGACCAGAAGACAGGCTGGAGGAAAAGTAAAGCGCTGCGTTGCAGTCTTTGATGTCCTGATCCCATTGAATGTATATATATATCTTTGTGTGTGAGTGCGAGTTAAAACACGTTGTCCTACACATATGTCAATACATGTCAACACATCCCCACCCCAATCAGTTGTTTTCGACCACAATTCATCATCCCCTGCACTCGACCGCAACGAATGTTACAGGCGCCCAGTTGGGAAGACAAGCACGGACAAAGTGCTGTGCTGCAGATGGCTGCAGAGGGCCTGGAAACGGCGCAGGCTACAGGCTGGAGATGGGATGACCTGGGAGCAAACACGGATTGCTTACCAGTTATCCAATACGATCCATTACTATCCATTAAATATCAATAAACTTGGATGCACGTCCAAGTGGGAAATGTCGCTAAGAGATGCTAAGAGATCTTGAAAGATAGCCAAAGTGTGACTCTGGTGTAGGTAGCTGGCTGTATCCGTTGATGCCTTGCACGTCCTCCCTACATGATGTCTGTGACTTGCGAATCCTTCGGGTTAAACAAACAGCTTCAAACAGCTCCAAAGTTTGACCCCAGCTGACACGACGGTGTTCCATGGTATTCAGCACCGGTCAGGTCGGTTCCGCGTTTCCGCCATTTTTCGGCTGGAGAAGTCCTTCACAAAATGTGAAAAGGCACCCACCCGGATGTGGCCGCCGCGGCCCCATGGTGCGTGTGCTTAGCTTCAGTGGCCACATCCTACAGACTCTGCCTTTGTCCAAGTTTAGCAGGGTTGGAGACTTTGCCGAACACGTGGCTGCCTTGTTGAATGCGCCCAATTGCAGTTTGGTGGGGAAGTCTGGGGTGAAGTTTCAGGAGCATTTGCCCATTGAGGAGAGTGGTTTGAATGAGGAAGATGAGGTGACAGCAGTCGCTGAAACCTTAGATCCCTTGTTGCAGATGCTGGAACTCCAGGATGCAGATGGAACTTTGTCCTGGGACAATCTGGAAGAGTTGCAAGACGCCGCCCTCCGAACCGAACAGAGCCTGTTGGAATGTGCCTGCAGCAGCTGCAGCATCGACGGCGACGCCATGCCATGTTTGGAGTGGCTGGACCAACGAGTGCCTCCCCCACCGATGTTCTGCGAAGATGGCCCCAGCTATTGTACCCTGAGCCTGGACACCCCGGTGATCCATGGCGGTGCCCGGGTGCTGGTCTTTCCGGATCCAAGCGATGGTTCCAGGGTGGCCAAGGTGTACTCTCAGGAGACGTCGATGACCATCCGGGAGGTGCTCCGAATTGGTCGCAGCCGACCGGATTTGGAGCTCCTGCGAGGCGACTTGCAACCCGGGGAGGTGCTCAAACCCACCATCAGCGTCAAGAGTCATTCACGGCATGAGATATGTTTGCAACTGGGGCATGTGCGATATGCCTGACTGTTTCGAAATGAAAGCATGATAAAGCATGCTAGGTGGCCATTTCGAGGACTGTCCTGAGGGAGGGATGAATGATTTTAGTTGGCTTTAGTTGCGTCGAGCAACTCACAAAGATCACAAAGATAGGTGATTAGGGCTGATTCTTGGCCAATGTTTGGAAATGGACATTGCTTTTTATTGCTTTTTCACTTGCATGGGCTCCCAATATAATATGATAACCGTGTCTATACAGAAATAAATGATGCTATTTATAAATCTATTTAAGTTGCTATTGTTTCACAGTGTTTCACCTTTTAGTCTCCTCGCACCAAATCGGTGCAGCGTGAAAAAGGTGCTTGCACCACTTGGTGATGGCAGGTTTTTCCGCTTCCTGCGTAACTCATGGGACGATATTTTCCGACTTTATATATATATATATATACACATCATATTATTATTGCATTTGTTGCTACCATTACTACCAGTAGTACCCCACAAGGCGGTGGCGGAAGTTTCAAAGATAGAAAACCTATGGGAGAGGTTGGTTGTTGTGATGCATGGATGGCAGAGTGAACTGATGCACCATGATGCACCGAAACGTGGCTGAGGATCTGAGTCTCTCAGCCTGCCTCTCTCTCTCTCTCTCTGTGTCTCTTTGTCTCTCTTTGTCTCTCTCTGTCTCTCTCTCTCTCTGTCTCTCTCTGTCTGTCTCTCTCTGTCTCTCTCTCTCTCTGTCTCCTTCTCTCTGTGTGTCTCTCATTGTCTAATCTATCTGTCTGTCTGTCTATCTGTCTATCTGCCTATCTGCCTAGCTGCCTATCTGTCGATCTGTGTGTCTGTCTATCTGTCTATCTGTCCGTGTCTATCTATTTGTCTATCTTTCTATCTATATGTATCTTTCTATTGTCTATCTATGTGTCTATCTGTCTATCTGTCTGTCCGTCTATCTATCTGACTATCGGTCTATCTGACTATCTAATCTATCTGTCTGTCGGTCGGTCTGTCTGTCCGTCCGTCCGTCCGTCCGTCTGCCGTCCGTCTTTCTGAAGGAAGGAATTCTGCCAGACTTCCTTGAAAAGTGGCAGGTGACAGATCCAGTGCGAAACCCCCCAATTTCGGAACTTGCGGACGTCAAAAAGAAGCAGTTCTGCGAGATTTCCTCAATTTTGATTGTCAACGTCAAAAACGACTGCATGGAAAGTTGTGTGCAGAGCGAATGGCCTCGTACCAATGGCTTTGCGATTTTTCATCCAATATCTCTGCGCCTGCCACGACAAAGGGAGGCCAGGTCATACGAAGTGCTGCACCGGTCATGCAAAGCCACTTCAGCAAACCTGAAGATCCGATGCTCCAAATTGCAACCCTCTCTCAGGAAATCACTGGCCTGACCTCCGAATATCTCTGATAAAAATGTCTCTTCTACCGCGCGTGCCACACGAAATGCAGCTTTGCAGGTCATAGAAAAACTGTTTACAGTGCATGAAATGGACTGAAATCGTCATTTGATACGTTTGACATTGTGTCCGCGGGCGGAAAGGATTTAAGGCCCCGACGTCCATCACCAGTGAGCATCAAAATAGCTGTTCTCATGGATGCTCATCTCCCCATTTTCTGGCCTTACGGGCGACGATACATCCCTACTTGTCAAAAATTCACGTGGGAGACTTCTTGAAAATGTGATATCATTCTACCACGGTTCTTCATCAGCACCTGGGATGATCCTCCATGATTTTCACCTGGCGAAGGGTACAAGACCTCGCTCTTGTCCCTTGAGACGAATGCATCAAGATCAGCGAAACTGGCTGCTACTTTCACTGCAGCGCAACTGCTGATGTTGACAGTTCTCATGCCTGCCATCGGTTTTGCAACTGCTGCAATACCCACACGTTGAGCTCACTTTTGCGAAGGTGCAGAATCCCTTGCGCCTGCCACAAAACATGACAGTTAAACGCCCAAAAGTGGTCCGAACATGTGGTGTTTTGTTATTAACATTTTACTTTGAAAATCGAAATGTGGCCACAATGGCGTGGACTTTTTGGACATCGCAACTGCCAAAAGTGATCCGGAGCTAAGGTGTTTAGTACAGTTTGGTTTCAAATGTCCTTCGTGCCACAGCGGCATGCAGTTTTTCCACATCTCAGCTTCCAAAAGTGCTGCGAACCCGAGGTGTTTTGACCATGTTTTCTTCCAAATCTGCTTCGTGCCACAAGGGCGTGAAATTTTTGATCTCTCATCCGACCATATGGTTCCGTGCCCCGTGCCCGCCGCTTTAGCAAGCCTACTTTTCGACCCCCCGGAGCCACAAAACATTGAAAAAACGTATTTTTTGCGCGCATTTTTTTTTCTTCTATTTTTTTCTGATTTTTTCTCTGGCTCTTCCCACCTCTGCTGCTTCATTTGTCCATATGGTCGGAAGTTTGACTTCTTATTTTTTTTGATTGTTGTTTTTAATATCATACTAAGTGGTGTCTCGTTTTCAGCGGCTTGCAGCCCACCAAAAAACACCCAAACTCATTTTGCTCGATGGACCCCATGACAGTCATATCGTAAGTGGATTCTGATGGAATCTGCAGGTGTTCATCCTGCAGACTTGGCTGCAGACGTGCCTTGCTCCGGGGCCATGTGTGCAATTTCAATTTGGCATTGGGAAATATCGAAAACCACCATTTTTTGAAGGGGAACGAATCTATATACTTAAACGGGACAGTTTGCTTGATTGCCAGAGGGTAGAAAGGTGAACCCAAAGCAAAACAAACTGTTTTCAGCGGCAGACTCAATGGTAATTAAGATATTCCCAGGTGGGGTTCAACATTGGGTTTGCCATTACCCATTGCCGTAGACTCTAGACTTCATTTGATATAGATGGCGAGTTTCAAAAATGATGCCTTTGACAACTGTAGCACACGTGCCGGCAGGTCAAGTTATTTGGATTGGACTAACCTATGTTGGGGGATGGTCATAGCAGCATGTTCATAGGGTTCTATATGCGTATTATAATGATTAAAATGTATTCAATATATGCCTTTTATTTATTTTTATTTTGGATTTCCATCTTCAGTGACCTTTCAGGAACCTCACCCGGAGGTACCTACCATTCACAAGGTCTAAGGGCTAAATTTCGGGCGATGCATCCAGAGTTCTATGGTTTTCTTTGCTTCCCCAATACCTCCATTGATCCATGGGATGGATCGAGGTGCGATCGGGTTTTCGCTTCGCCTTCGATTTAGAGGGGCTGCTTGGACGCAGTGCAAGGCCATCCACAACATCCCTGATGATTAGTTGATTTGCTGATAGTTGATGATAGATGATTGATTGATACTACATGATATTACTAGTTGATAAATGTTGATAATTATTCATTTAAATTATATTATATACTTATATAGTTGATTTGTTGAATTTGTTGGTATTTTTTCAGTTTTATGGACTGATTCATTGTGGATTATGAAGAAATATGCTATGCATGGGCCTTGGGGCCCGGGATATCCCAGAATCGGGCAGCTTTGGGGTTAGGTTCCCACAGACATTAACCAATACTGATCAAACGATAGACATATTATATATATATATATACGAGCGTGAATAAAACAGACAGGCGCCAATTAAACAAGTGCGCTTATTTCAGATATTTCAGGTGTTGCACTCTTGCGCCCATACCAAATGACACGGACATGCGTACGATTGGCAGCCATTCTCTGTTCGCCTTGAGGATACTGGCTATGCTTCAAGAAGGTTTTTATTGGGACACCTTCAGCCAGATGTGCGGGTCCCAGATTCAAATGGCGGTTGAGATCCTTTCTCAACACTGCACATTCCTGACCAAAAGATGCATCAGGAAGTATGCGAACAACGGTGCTTTTGGAGCGGCTGTAGTCGAGGACGCGGCTTTTGATTCATGAGGATGGCACTGTGGAAAAGAGGCTTCTCAGCCACTACTATCACTATCGATGCCATGGGACATTTTTTGATCCCGGCTCCTTGAACAGTTAAAATTGGTTAAACGTGTAGTCATGGTCTGCATATGGTTCTCCAACAGGCAGTTTGACGATGGCACATCTCCTTTTTGTTGTATATTCAAAAGCTACTTGTAGCAGATTTTGCAGAGTACGGTTCCCGATATTCCCAGTTTCCATAGTTATCAAGTTTTTCCAGATACCATAGTTACCTGGATTAGCCAAGGGTAAGATCCGCTCTTTCCGGAATTGAATTCAGGGAGCTATTCCAGAACCCTCCATGATTCGGACTATGACGATATATGCATGTATATATATATATATATACATATATATATATATGCGTGTGTGTATATAAGTCACATAGATATGATGTTCTTTTCACAGACATAAATAAATATTATATATATATATCTTTGAAATATGTTTTTTGTTTTACATATATGCATGAACCTGTGGGTTACCTTCAATTCATGCCACCAATTGCTTCCTCAGCCAGGACCAAGCGGACGGTGACGTGTTGGGAGCTCAGTGATGGGGTAAACAGCAACAAAAATCCCATGTGGCAAACCTCGTTTCATAAACCATCGCCAAAATCACCATAAATTTTGGGTGAAACCATCCCCCAAATGGAAGGTTCGTGGTATTGAGTGTCCCACATTGTTTACAATGTTCCATAGTTGTCGCAGTCACGTCCTAACTTCCAAGGTCTTCGTTGGCTCTGGCTTGGAAGTAGGACCCAGAGCCCCCTGCATGATGGAAGGGTGTACACACACACACACACGCGCGCGCGACAAACCATCACCCAGATAGATAAAAAGAAGGATTAGATGGATGGATGGATGGATGGATGGATGGATGGATGGATGGATGGATAGATAGACAGACAGATAGATAGATGGCTAGACAGATAGATAGATAGATAGATAGATAGATAGATAAAAAGAAGGATAGATAGATAGATATATATAGATAGATAGATTGATTGATTGATAGATTGATAGATTGATTGATTGATAGATTGATAGATTGATAGATTGATAGATTGATTGATAGATTGATAGATTGATAGATAGATAGATAGGCAGATAGATAGACAGACAGACAGACAGAGAGATAGGCATTTGTTTGCTTACAGTCATTTGATGTCATGGATGGACAGATAGAGTCAACCTTGAGAAATTGCACTTTTCGCCCAGTTTTCCCAGTCGTTTTCCCCTTCCACCAGGGTCAGTGCCGACACATTGCTGTTGAGGCTTGGATTCTTGATGATGAAGTCGTGGACTGAGGAGAAGAACCTGCGAAGCGTTACCATTTTTCATTTTTCATTAGGGATTGGATGATGATTCATGATGAATTAGGATGAGCTATATCATGACTATATCATGCTGAATTATGTGATGAATCATGGGAGAAAAAGTGGATGTCAAGTTTTTTCACTCATCATCCCGAATCGCTGCCCTCCATGGGGCCCCAATCAGCTACTTTTAATGGATGTGAATGGTGATTCGTGTCATCTGCAGTGTCGTTCCTGACCTTGCGGAATATAACCACATGCACATACATGTACAGGAACATGTACAGTGCAGGAAAATATCTAAGATTTCTGTAATGTACTGCAATTAAGTCACCAGAAACTCACAAACCCCGAGCAAGTCTCGTTATATTCCATGAGAAAACTGATCTTCAGGTCCACTCTTTTTGTGAAGATGAGTGAAGCTGTTCATTTTTGGCTTGCCATGTCAGAGGAGTTGTAGTAGGGCCTGGGGACTGTAAATGACCACACTCTGTAATTCCCAAGGTCAAAAGTCTTTAATTCTGTCGACCCATACGCAAGTTGTCGAAATGACGCATGCCTGCCATTTTCAACATCACCTTCAGAGTGTGAAACTCAAACAAGTTTTTGCGCGAAGGTCGCAGCTAGCCATGCACCTGACTGAGAAAGATGGGTTACTGGCAGCAGACTGAGTTGGTGGTTAGGTGTGGTTACCTGGGTATTTACCGTGGTTACCAGGGAATCCAACACGGTATTTGGGACACAACTGTGACATCCTGTGACATAGAAGACGGGGTGCAGACGGGGTGCAGAGCTCGCCTAGTGGAATTCCATGTGGTCAAGGCATGCCATGGGTTGTTGGTCACATGTTGTGGCCCCACTGATCAATGTTGACCCATAGTGAGTTCATTTACAACATGTTCATTTACAATATGTTCTCGTTTCCGGACTAGTGTGACGGCAAGAATGAGATTTTTACCCTGTGGCACTCTCTCGTTGGTGTTGCTGAAGTTTAATTTTCTTTCCTATACTGCCTATACTTCACTAGTTGCAGCTAGTTACTAGGAGTACTTGCCATGATGATCCCCATTGAGGTCGCAGATCTTGCCGATCTGGAGCAGTGCCCAAGGGGCCCATGGACAAACGGGGCATGGCGCTACATGGGCCTTGGAGCATAAGGAGCAAAACATGGGAGGTACAAGGCCCTGCCTGGCTTCGCCCCACTGGGTGGGAAGGCTACCTTCCAATGGAAGGATGGCAAGCTGACAACTGCCTGGATCTGAAGATTGGATTTAGTTGGATAAATATTGGGAGAATATTGTGATTTATGTAAATGCATTGCACTATACTGGCTGGATTTTTAATCAGCAAGTTTGATGCTTGAACCCTGAGATCGTATGAAATCGTGAGGTCCAGCTTCAGTACAAGGGGAAGACCTATGATGCAGTCAACAAGGTTGGACATTGGGAAGTGGGCTTGAACTGAGCTCCAAGTATTCAGCGAGTTTTCTGGTAGGAAGGGGCCCAATGGGCGGCTTACTGCCAAAGGAGTGGACAACCTTGGATGATGGATGGGTCAGAGGGTTCCTAGCTCCTGACAGACATGATCAATCATGAGTCTGTCTTTTTCACGGGAGTATACTCCCAATTTGATTAACCATTGGATTTATGGATACAGTATTTTTAGACAAACCCACAGATTGTGTTTGATGGTTTTGGGCCTAGTCCTTTGCTGAAGACCGACTGACAAAGTGCAGGCAGAACCTGCAGAAACTACGCAGTTTCAGCATAGCGTTTTGGAAGGCGCGAAAAAAGGGGGTGAATGCACCAGGATTCTCGCCCCATTTTCCTGGGGATATGTCCATTGTAAGGAATCCCCTTCTGGCATCCCCTTCTGGTGGGATGACATTAATCTACACCGACATAACATGTAACTTGACAGCCAAATTCTGAGAAGAAACAGTGGACTAACTGGGGACTAACTGGGGACTGGGGACAGGTTGGAACTTTGCGGAAAAGGCCATTATCGCTTCTCTTCTCGCAGGGTCGCCTGGGATCCATCGGACCCATCGGAGCCATCGGATCCATGAGTCCAATATAGGGGTTTCACCCGGGTAAACCACGACCGAACAGCCTGGTTGGTGGTGCTTTGGAACATTGGAACATGGCTCTCTTAATGACTTTCCATATCGGAATTTCATAATCCCAACATATCCCAACTGACGAGTTGTCATATTTTTCAGAGGAGTTGAAACCACCAACCAGTTGCGACACCTTGCTGATCTGATGGCCAAGGCGAAAACACAACTGCTGATCCATGTGTGAAGCTGAGACATGCTTAGACATGCCCACCTCAAAGGTGTTCGTACCCCGAAACGAATAGATCCAATATATCAAACCAAGGCTTTTGGTGGGTACTTTAAGAAATAACACACACACAGATATATCTATATATAGAATTATATAGAGCAACCCGAAAAAGAAGAAAAGTGAAATCCTATCAAAATAACGACCACATTGGTTGTTTTTCTAAGGAAAAAGAACTGTTGGCAGTTACTCCTATTCTCACAGACCCACATCTATAATCATCTACAGATATCATTGGGGCTCCCGGCCATCATGGTCCCAGTGATTCGTTCCCAAGGTGAAGACCATTCACATGGAACTTGCGCCGACTCTACAGGTGTGGGTCTATTTGTGGCATGGCCCTGGAGTCCACAGCACGAATGACTTGAAGATCTTGAAAGCTGGCCTTCCAGGTTTCCAAGATGTCCAGAAAGGGCTGCTCTAGATCCATAGAAACCGCGTCCCACCATTCTTTTTATAGACTCTCTGGTGAACTGAGTGAACTGTCCCAAATGAATTGCACATGTCGGGTTTTTTGGGCCCCCAATTTTTTACCAGCCGTTCGAGGCCGTCACCATCGACTCGTTCCAAGCTCAGCAATGGAGTTGGAGCTCGTTGAAGCCATTTGGAGTCAAAGTTCAACCATGTTCAACCACTCTTTGTGAGCCATGATGCCAAGTTTCAACTTGGCGACCCCAACTTGTCCAATCCCAAGCCCCTCGTCGTGCAAAGGCTCAAAGGCTTCAAGGAGTCACTGACTCAGGAGGAAAATGGTGACTCTAGGCGACCACAATCCTCTACCAAAATGGTTGGTGAAATCGGTGGAATTCTGGGCTTCCCTTGCTGAATCAGCATGAAACAGCGACTGTCTTGTGTATAGAGAGATGTGATTTTGTTTGAGACAACGTACCCAGAAATCCAGGGATTGGCGCGTCATGGTGACCTGGAGTCCAAGGCATCCGCTTCGACAGTTTTTGGAACCTTTCACCACGCGAAACATTCAGGCCGCAGTTGGTGGATCATGGTGTAGGATCAAAGTTGAATGACAATAATGACACAAGAACAGATGGTGATCATGTTACACTGGTTGAACCATCCAGCTTCGGATTGTTTTGTTTATTCGCAATCATAAAATTACCATCCCGCAGGCAGTTGCTGAAATGGGTGATGCTTAAAAAACACTCCACAAGATTTCGGCCCCTGCCCTGTTTTGTATTTGACATCGTTGAGGGACCTGGAACCTTCAGCTGCCTGCCTTTTTGGGGCATTGATCACCCATTTGCCTTGGATATGCTGAAGAAAATGCGCTGTTTGGGACGATCTGCGAAGTCGTTTGGCCATGTTTGGCCGTGGCCATTTGGCCGTGGCCATTTGGGGGGCATTTTATTCAAAGGGAAACTTCAAGGATGGTTATTTGACGTTTGTATACGGGGCGTTGGTGATTTTTGTATATTTTTGTGGGCATTGACTGGGCATTGGCTCTCCAAGGCGACCAACAACAATCTGAAGATTTGGTTCGAGTTCCGGGGTGCAGAGTTTGGTCTTGCACCTCTCAGTGTCGAGGACGTGGAGAGTGCCTTTTCCTGGGCTCTGGGAGAGCAGTTGAGTTCTTGGATGACTTAACTCTTGGAGGTTTCTGTCATGAGTAGGGCCATAGTAGGGCCATACTGGGCCTCATGGATTTTGATGGATTTTGGTGGGCGCGTGACAGAATTTTGGGGAAAATGTCGCAAGGTTTCGGAGGAATGGAACTGCTGACGCCTTGATGTCGATCCGTGGCTCAAGGGGAAGAATTTTTAAGGTCCAGGCCGTCCAGGCCATCAGGTTTCACGCTTCTTTGCACTTTGCTTACTCAAAACATCTCAAAACAATAAACCTATAAGAGTTTTGAAATCTGTTGCAGTCAGAGGTTTTCTTTGTTGCCTGCGGAAGCGGTTTTCAGCTGGCCAGCTGCCATGGCTATGTTCACTCTTCTGTCAATCTTCGCAACGTTCGCTTGCTTACTTCTCTTTTGCCTGCTCCGACGTGTGCCCTGGCCTGATCATGCACCGTCATCCGTCCCGCCTTTCAGATCCATTGGATATTGATCGTGTATCGTCCCAACCATTGAGGGGCACTGTATAAATATATGTATAAATCCCAATTTTCTGAGGCTGGGAAAGAACAGTCACGAATCCAAGCAAGGATTTTTAATCATTTGAATCTACTTTCAGTTCACTTTCCTTGGCTCATCGGGGATGAGGGAGAGGATATGACATAAATTTCATTAAATTTCACCATCAGCCCAGTAGTTTCCATCACATCAAAGATGAATGTGAAAACCATTGGAAACCAGCGTTCACGTGATAAGAATCTGAGGCGCGCAGGAAAAAACGTGAGGATGATGATTGGACCGGTGAGCTACACCTAGGCCTGCTCAGAGTGAGTATGTGCCACAGAAGAAGAATGGGCTTGGATGGATATTCATGATTATTGAATCTATAATATATATATATATTATATATATACATACATATATATATATAGACATAGATGATATTCTTCAGTCGTTTTTCTGTTGGATGATTTGGATGTGATCCTATGTTCCGATCCCAGAGGTGAGGAGGTTGAAGAACTGCCAGAGCATGTCCTGGACTCAGGATGGGGTCAGTGGAATGTCAAAACCCATGGTCAGTGCCTGTGTGTTGCAAAATCGCTGGAAGATCTCTGAGTAAAATTCGGTTTTTATGCGTTTGATTCATCCCCAAATTTCGTTTGAGTCCGAGCCGTTCCCTTTTAGGCGATGCTGTGGCAATCCCCCATGCAATTTTAGTGCTCGATGGCTGATGAATCTCCGATACGTTTTGATTCCAAATGATGGAACAATTATGGAATGGATGACCCTACCAACAAAAAACAATGTTTTGATCATGGCATACATTATCATTGTCAGCACAGATGAATGAGAATGTGTTGTCCTAATGATGATGAGAGAGATACTGATGAGAGATACAGTACCCCCATGACAAAATTTTGCGGTTACCCCGTGAAACTGGCAGACCCATCTCCTTTTTTTTCTTCTGCGTTTTTGAAAATGAAGCAACTCGAAGGGACCCAGCAGATTATCATGGGTATACCCTCATATATCTAGCACTTTCCTCATGTGTTATCATTGCCATTTGGGGGGGTACACCCTCGTACGGTATCCCGAGAACGATGTTTGCATGGTCTTGAATTTTGTGAATTTGGGCGATGGGTGGCTGGAATTCTACCCTCTGCAATTCAACACACCTAAGGAAAATGGACTGATTTACAAACTAAACATTGATAACAGTGTTCTTTTGCATAGCTATGTTAAATTATCCCATGGGCTGGAATTATTCCCCATTAAACCGGATGATGTTGTAGTATGTATTTACCATGTTGATATAATATCCCATGAAATCCTATTCAATATATTCAATTCCATTAATTCCTGTTAAGCCCCATTAGATTCCATGAATTAAATCCCACCAAGTCCCAGTAAGTCATTTGAACCCCCATGAATTCCCATGAAATCTCATTAAACCCCATGAAAATCCCAGAAAATCATGCAGTCAATGGATTGGTTTAAGGGAAAATTTACAGGAAAACCCTATATTTGATGGTAAAAACCATGGTTTCCTGTAGATTTTCCCTTAAGCCAATCCAGTGATGCAGAAATTTGCCATGTCACCGTCCCCAACACCGAAAGGTGTTAAAGTCCTTCACCTTCTGGGCCGGCGGTTTGGCTGGTGTGGCCTCCGCCGCTGCCACCCACCAGCTGGATGTGGCCAAAACGCCTCTGGGATGGTGACGGGTCGAGACGAAGCCATGGTTTATGGCTAAAGCCCTAGGATTTTAGGATATTTTAGGGATATCCCCTGGTTGATACGAGAAAATGTCAAGGAGCTGGATTTGATGTGATTTTACGTGCTTTTACCATTTGCCCAGCGCTGGTTGAAGGGAAGATATAGAGATTTTAGAGGAACTCCTGGTTTTTTCCGGTAGATTTTCCCTCAAAACAATCCACTGAACAAAACAAAGGACGTGGATTCTGCCAATGAAGGACTGGATTTGAACAGACAAAGATGGGGTGTTGACCAATGAAAATGGCGAATTGCCATATGTGTCCGGCTCTTGGAAGACTTGAACACCACTTTCTGGTCGTTGAAGTGTGCTTCCCCCTCGAACGGGGGTCCCTGTTGGTTAGTGGGTTCATAATTGATGTTTATTGCATTTTATTAGAGAATTCATGAGGGACCCTGTCTCATTGGGTGAGAGTTGGAAGTTGGGAGTTGGGTGAGAGGCGCTGGAAAATCTTCCAAGACCAAATGTTCGTTTGGAATTCCGAGAAGCAACATGGACAGAGAATGATGGAGGTATAGTGGTTGCGAATAAGTAGGGACCTCATAACATAAAAACCACAATCATAATTTGATAGCGATTTCGAATAAGATGATGTTCAGCTCTGAAACACAGGGAATGCCCACGACCAAGTCAAACTACTGCAGGGTAAAATGCTCAACATGTGCATGCGACTTGCCAAAAAAATCCTGGCCTGAGCTGACACTTCCACGATGCTGGGCAACACAACCGAGGTTGCGACATGTTGGCAAACCTTTGCCGGAGCACTTCTCAGATTATTTTGCCTCTTGGCATCTCTTATCCAGAAATTGTCATTGATATCATTGATGCGACACTCAACCCTCAGCCTGTTGTGGCTTCATTCTACCCGATAGTCAAGGCGAGTCACCTGTGATTAGTTGACCTCATCACGTTGTACCTGGTGAGAGCATCACTCCAGGTGGAGTGGGGTGAAACCCTTGAATTCAACCACGAGTTGTCCCTTCATTGAAAAATTACAGTATCAAGTTGGATTGAAAGACCCCGGGTCTTTCTTCTTTGGTGTGTATGTGTTCATGTTTCTTCGAGCAGGAACATGTTCCAAGCGTTGGCTTCGACAATGTCTCCTGTGGCAGCCTGTGGCCCCACTTAGGTGGGAATGGCCATGGGCTCCTTTGCGCAAGGCTTTCGCTTTGCCATCACGTTGATTCTCAACATGACCTTGCAGATGCTTGGATAGCAATGGCATCAGATTGAGAAGACCAAGGAGTAAAGATGGGAATGTTGGAGGGAATGTGACCATACTTGTGCATTGTCTGGCCACAGTTCGATTAGGGTGGTGAAACCATTTGAAAATCCCTGAGGTTCCCTGAGCATGAAGAGCTACAGGTAGCTATGTATAACTAGGATTCGGATACCATCCGGGACAACCGATAAACTCCGATCAAGAGGATGGCAGAGGACGATCGTCCGTGCTTTGATGAAATTGCTTGCTATACTGCAGTTTCAAGAAACTATGATGTGACTTGATTTACCCTCTGGTAATTTAACATAGCTATTGAAAATCACCATTTTTCCCCACATTGACGTGTGGGGTTTTTGTTTTTAGTTCTGTATCCGCTCCTCGTCCTCCTCCTCCTCCTTCCCGTCCTCCCTCCTCACTCACACTCACTCACACTCACTCACACTCACTCACTCTCACTCACTCACTCACACTCACTCACTCACACACACACACACACTCACTCACTCACTCACACACTAGACAAGAATGGATCATTATATGATCCGGCAGGAACTGAATCCTGAAACATGCAAACCAGCCTAGATCGTTAGATTAGTAAAAGAGCCACATGAGGTACTTCTCGAAAACGATGTAGGGCATCCAATATTGTCAAACGTAGTCAACTCATTCCAACCCTTTCTGGGTCCTTTCCAACTGGGAAGTGGGGCCTGGGAATTGCAAGAGTTGCCATCGCTCGCCATTTGTTTTCTCTGCCGCTTCCCCACAGCAGTGTTTGACATCCATGTTTCACTGCGACTCACGACTTTTCAAATCGTAAGTAGGTATAGATTAGGATGCGTTTGCATCGTCACAGACCCCATTGTAGGAATCTGGCCTAGGAATCTGGTATCTTACACAAAATCTATAGGAACCTGGCGAATCCCTGTGCGCACTCAGTATCCTGGTGCCCATTGGCAAAAATCCACCTTAGATTCTGGAGATCCCAGCATTATACCCCCTTTTTGACAAAAGGCAAAGACTCAGAAATTGATGCTCATTTTGTGCCACACATAGTTTTCACATAATTAAAAGTGCCAAGCCGCGCCCTTCTTTCTTCCCACCCAGCAGCCTTGCACTCAGGGCCGCTGCCACCACGCAACTTCTTGGCTGCCCATGCGTTGCTGTAGACCTGAGAAGAAAGTGAATGGGAAAAAAACATGGTTGCTGTAGACCTGAGAAGAAAGTGAATGGGAAAAAAACATGAAGCAAAGAGGTGTAAGGAAGGAGCCGGTAATCAAACTTGTCATGTTCACCCATGCCGCTGCCAAGATGCAGAGTGCATCTTTTTCTTCAGCGCCGTAGTCTCATCGTCCTCTTTCTTGGGACCCTTCACTTTCTTATCCTTGGTTTTCTTTGTCTCCTTTGCGCGCTTGACTTCGCTAGCACGCGCACCTCGTCTCTTGCGTTCTGACTTGGGCTTCGGCTCGGGCTTTCTGCTCTTGGTCTTCGGGGTGCTCTTGGCCTTGGGTTTGGATTTGGCTGTCGCTCCCAAGGCGGTCGTGGCCGCTGCTGACTTTGGGGCAGGCTTCAGTCCCATGTCCAGCCTGTCCAATTCACGGCCAATGGCTTTCAGCTTTTTCTCAACATTCTCAGTAGTGGCTGGCTTGCGGACCAGCTCCTTGTCCGCGGCAGCCTTTTTATCATCCAAAAGCTCATCCACATATTCATCACCAACAGGTGAAGAGGCAACCACATCAGAAGTACGTCCATCTGAAGTCCCAGCATGACCAGTGGAACCTGGTGCCGCTGGCAATTCCGTCTCATCTGCATGGATACCCGAAGTGGCAAGTGCATTCAGGCAAGCGTCGATGCCTGCAAGGGTTGCAGCGCAAAGCTCCTTATCCACTTTGGTGAGGCCAGGAGGGGAAATGGCACCGTCCTTGCCATTCCTTTCAATCTCCTTGTCAGGGAAAAGTTCCTTCGCCTTAGTTTTGGCGAACAGTATTCGGCTAATGCCATGGCGGAAACAAGAAAAAAGGCGATGCCCCCCTAGTGTCCCCTAAGTTCCCATCTGAGATTTTCCTGTAGTCACTACTGTAGCTGAGCCACAGGGGTATAGGGATCAAGCTCGGTCTCCTTAGTGCTGCCCGATTATCTAGCAGGCAACAAAAAACACCAAAGACATTACACACATAGGCACGCTCTCTCACACACACACACGCACTACATGACACAATGCCATGAGATGTTCCTCTCACCGTTAGTCATGGCGAGCGGCAGCCATTTCTGGACAGCCATCTTGCAACTTGTCCGCGCCGAAAGCCTGGAGTGGAAGTAGGAGACGGTCCAAGTGACCGATTCCACAATTTAGTAAACATGTTTTTCCAAGGGGCTGAGTCTGGACAGAATGGGGAGAATGGACTCGGATACTCGCCCAGTTGGTTGTCCGGGTGGTAGCTATAGGGTGGTTGGCTCTCCTCCACAGACCTTAGATCAGAGGCCATACATGTAAACAAGCACATATTTTGAAATCATTTCCCACGAAATTGGAACTGATGGGGACCCTGAGAATGTTGCAGGGTCCATTCAGCCTTCTTCTCGATGGCATACTCAAACGGCTGGGGGGTCTCAGTTTCCTCCTCATAACATTCCTCACCACAGAACATAGGCTGGAGCAATCCATGCGGTTGATTTTCAACCACAAGGTGGTAGATAACTGTGTATGTGCATGCGTTTCCTGCCATACTAAAAAGCATGCATGCTATGATCAGGATATATCATGTGCGAATGTGATTCCAAAATCGTGGTCGAGACAAAAGCTAACACTTTTAGGTGGCATACATGACATACATATGTAATATGCATTCATGTCGATGGTTAAAGATTTGACCCAATCAAACCGTATACAGTGCAAATTACAAATTATGCAATATATATATATATTATATACTGTGATATCATGATCAAAAAATGAACCAATTACTATACAATAAATTACAAAACCCCCTCTCCAGTACTGCCCCAATACCACACCGCTTGTTTAGTTCTTTGGAGGGCTGGACAATCTAGTGACGCTGGAAAAAAAAAACAAACTCCCCTGCTTGGAGTACGGGGCGCAGTCCTCGTCACATTTCCGGCCCTTGCGGGCTGGTTTCTTGGTGGGGACGCTCGCTGCAGGCCTCTTTTTGGGGACTTTCTCAGCTTCACCGGACGCACGGGGCTCGGATTCCTGGTTGTCACCTTCACCTGCATTTTCATCATCATCATCATGATCTCTGTTGGGATCATGGATTGGCTCATGATCATCTTCTTTCGGAGGGGTGCTCTTCTTGTTCTTGGCCTTCTGCTTACCAGAAGCTTTTGCCTTGGGCACTGGCTTCTCCTTTTCCCCAGATGAATCATCAGATCCAACACGGCCAGGGAGGCCATGTACCAAGCTAGCACCTGGTAGGGCTAAGAGTTTCTACAAACATTGCTCGTTTTGAAACAGTCTGGCACAAGTAGTTATTTTGACTAGGGATTCTTACGAGCCAGCTGGTCTTGAGGATTTCAAAACATGAAGGGGAGATACCCATTATTTTCATGCTCATCAGACCCAGCCTTGGGAACTACCTGCAGCTGCCGAAGCCACTAGAGGTGGTGTCTGAACTTTTCTGGCGGATGCAGGAGCGCTCGGAGTCGGTCGTGGCACTGGACTCTGCAGGGACCGTGATGACAGCAAACGCTGTAGATTGAAAGCCTTGGCGGGGTATTGACTGAACTCAAGTTCAATTTTTTGTTTGGCTGCAAATCATCATTTTCAGTTTCTGGAAGAAAGTCTAGTGGCTGGTGGCCGGACGTTGGCAGACAAGGGAACTTCAACCACGGAGTCATCATCACTCTTGCTCTGAGAGTGGGAATCCATTGTTTTGTGGGCTGGGCTGCACGAGACCTAACCTTTTTTTCAAATGGCTAAGGTAAACAAGCGATGGTCAAGCCAATCCGACACATATCTCAATGTTTCCTGAAAAAAAAACTGCATGTACTAGTTGAAGATCTCCATTTTTGGCATCAACTGGCTTAATCCGAATCAGCAGAGGTGAGCTTCATTTGATGTCTGAAAAGCTTTGCAATATTGTGGAAATAGGTCAGCAAAAATCCAATGCAAGATAAAGTTGGTTCCTACTAGATGTTGGAGGGTTCACTTGACTGACCACCTCAGCGGGCGAGCGACTTGCTTCAGCCCTACCCCGAACAAAATCGCACTCAGCGTGCTTCAGGTCCACTTGCCGGAGCAACCATGTCATACAGCGATTTAAAAAAACGTTCTCTTTTGAGTGTTCTCTTGAAAAGGTGACTTTTCAATAGTAGGCAGTTGACCCCACCATCAGGCAAACTTGGCTTATAGTGTCTCACACCAAGCAAACGGTCTCACTGTTCACTTCCAGCTGGTACTTCAAACACATCACGGGTCGAATCGGCACGATGAGCTTTGCTCCCTTCTCGGTGGCACCAGCGGCATCTATCCTTGGGGCAGCAGTGAATCCCACTAAGAAATTCAATGGGGCCCAGCAAAGGAATATACATTTCCAGGGGACATCAAGGGACATATAGAGGGAAAAAACCGAGCGGCCTGCATCGCCACGCAAGGACCAAGTTGTCGGCACCCTTCACGGCCGGAATTGAGACAAAGGCCCCGAAGTTGCGGGATGTGATCACCGGCTTTTTCTTCTTCTTCTCCTTTTCCTTCTTGGTTGCATCCTGCTGTCCGTCATCCACTGGTTCGTCCATTACGAAGACGAGAGGCTTCACTGATTTGAAGTTTCCATCACCATCACGTTCATGGTGACTTAGCTCAATTTTCACCTCAGGGGGGTCAACTCATGTCAGTGTCAAAGTAAAATCCCAGATTCCACTTAACAGGCTTAAAATGGCCTAGCCAAATTTGAAGCCACCCTTAGCCTCACCAAGATCTTCCAAATCGTTGATCAGGGACTGGAGTGTCACTGCGACGTCAGTGTTTGGCAAGGCCTGGAGGTGTGTGGGTAAGGTTCGCTTCTCTAGGATCATGAAGTCGGTTCGACTGATGTTGAATGCAAACCAACGCCCTTCTGCGTTCTGAGTCACTTCGCCAGCTTCCTTGCTTTTCAGTTTGACCCCGCTGGATTATGTTATTGTTTGGTGAGGTGCTGGTCAGGATTTTGTAATACGGTTTGATTTGGGAAGAATATGAAAAGTGTTGACTTGGCTGACAAAGCACAGCTCCATCCCTCCATTCGCCACTTCCATAGCCCCACCTGGGTTTGATATACAAGTAAAGATCCGACATTCAACTGCATTAAAGAGGGCCTTAAAAGTCATACATTCACAGCTGATTCCAAACATGTTTCGACCACCACCGGGCTTTTTGTGCGAAGGTTTTGTTATCCACCCATTTCCCCAAAATGGATTTTCTTAGGGAGGACTATAAGCCAAGGAGCATCTCACGCAATTGAAAGAATTGGTTTTGGTTCCTTGAAGATATGTAGATCTTGTCTTCACCGGAAATCAGATCGCATGTGTTGTTCAGCTGCAGCACCTTCCTGAATTTGCCACGAACCACCCGGTAAACACATGGCTCAGTAGGGGCTACTGGGGAAGTGATATGTTTTTGAACCAGGGACTTCCACAGAACAGCACAGAAATAAAAATAGATAGCACGTCATCAAACAAAATCGAAGATTCGACTGGACCAACTTTGAAACCACCTCGGTTTTGCAGGCCTCAAGCTTGATCCGCTTCGCAGGTCTTTCCAAAGGGTCATCTTCCGATGCTCCTGTCCTTGCTTCAGTCCTGGAGTGTGGCTGAACAAGTCCGGATAAGAACTCCTATCAAAACAAGATAACATATCTTGGAGGTGAACTTTGTGTGCTTATATTTCATGTCAGAGCTGGGATTGATGTGCTGAATTCCAGGAAGCAGTGGCTCACTACTGGTTACAAAACCCCAAGCTGAACCACGATACAGGCAAGTCAGTATTACTTTGAAAATTGGAGGGTTGCTACTAGCAAGTGTGAAGCCATATGACCAGTTTTGTTCCACCCATACCTTTCTGCGGCGAGCACAAACTCACCAGAGGCATTGAACTCGTCGTTGTGCGCAGTGATCACATCGCGTGCCTGTTGTTCAAACTCTGGATCCTCGAGCCACTTCTTTGCCATGCTTTCTAGGACAAGGAGTTGGTCATGTCGTTGTGAGCTCACCCGATAACTCTTCGCTGTATCAGTGGCACTGCCATTCCGCAACGCATTGAGCACAGGATCGAATTTGGGGAACGAGCTGATCTGCAAATTGCCAGCCCGTGCTTGCTCGTAAACTGCATTGCTGAGTCGGGTCAGCAAGTCCTGCCCGCTGTTGTCGAGGCAGAGCGTTGCGCAAACGCACTCCCTGCCCTCTTGGATTTCCTGAATGGTTCTTTGTATGGCAAAACCCCGACATAGTTTGTTGGAACTTTTGGGCTAAAGGCCATATTCTACTTTCCCCCTCAAAAACCAAAAACGCTGCTAATTTGTGACTGATTATCCTGCAGGCAGGCCAGGGCAGCCCAGCCGTCGTAGCCGTACAAATCCACCAGCACATTTGTTTTCGAGGAGCGGATTTGGAATGCGTCCAGAGTTTTCTGTACGAAGTCGGTCCCCGCAGCTACCTGGCGCAGAATCAAACTTTCAGGGAACCGATGGCCTTCAATTGAAAAAACAGCCTCCCCACGTGTCAAGTGACTTTGTGTGAAACCACAGGATAAGTCATAGTATTCCTAAAGAAGCGCAAGGACAATAAGTATCATAAGGCACCCAAAGAATCCCAAGGACAGGTATCATAAGGTTCCTATAGAATCTGCAGGATAATTATAATAAGGTACCTGAAAAGAATCCCAAGGATAATAAGTATCATAGGGTTCCTCAAAAATAAGATAACTATCACTGGGTAATAGGGTTCCTTAAGATCGTGGTGGCCCCAAGCACGCTTAGGGCCAGCATAGATTGGCAACTGGTAAATCCATATGCGCATGTTCCCTGGCACCTGTTTCTGCTCCTGAACATCCGTGAATGCTCGGCCAAGGTGTGGTACAGAATGTATACCAGGCGATGCCTTGCAGGCAGGGTTGCGGTAGAGATTTTTCCTCTAACCCGAGGGCGACAAGAAGCATTCTTCCCAAACACAAAATTTACTTTGGGGTTTGATGTCAAAACAAATTTGGCAAGTTGCTTGCTCTGGCTTGTACATTTCTGACCGTGGACACATACCAATTCCGTGCACAGCTCCCGTCTTCCAGCCCTTGGTGGTGTGGAACAAATTCCTGGAATCTCTGTGGGTAATGGCTAGCCCTGTCAGCACCCCGTCGCGCTTGCCGTAGACTGTCGCCTGTCAGGTTCAATGAAATATACGATCTTTTCTCCTAATAGCTAAAGGGTTTTGAAATATAAGAACAATGAGATATCAATTATAGATATTTGACTGGGATTCTTGAGGAAATCACAAAATTAAAGCCAAATGGCCGGGTCGAAGATCCACGTCATTGGCCGGACTTTCAAATTTCGGTCTTTCATGGACAATTGCGTCCTCAGATTGAAAATGACTGATCGCTCGAAAGTAACCCATTAGAGATAATTAATGCCCCCCCCCCTCATTGCCACAGCTTCACACCCAAAAAAGGTCGGGGAAACCAAACAGTGTCAAACAAGTGTCTCCAAGTTGTACCTGATGTCCCGAACTTGAATTTCCTCGGACTCTTCCACTGATTTGATGCCCGGGCAATTCTCATCCTCACTTTCGTCCATTTTGACATTCGATTCCTCTTTCTTCTCTACCGCTTCACAGGCTTCCTGCAGGGGCGTGGCATGGCCCTCAAACGGAGAAATCTGGTGTTGAGCTGGTGGCGGATAAAACCCAAAGATGAATGCATTTCTTTACTGTTTGCTTTGGAGGTACGAGACATACTTGGTGCTTTTTCTATCAGCTCACCGAATCATTTTTTTCAAATCCAACACAACCTTTTTTTTTGTGTGTGTGTAAACAATCCTGTCTTGGCTTGCCCGATTCGGGTGTACCAGCAAGCATATCGAGTTGACCGGGTAGTCACTGAGAATGTTGCAGATGTAGGTGATCATGAACCCTTTGAAGGCTGCCGACATGATGCCAACCACAGGACATTGCATGAGCACAATGATGCTGTGGTCGTCAGCTGCCCCATTTGACACCTATTTTCTGAAACAACACCCAAGAAATCGATGGTCAACAATTTTATTCAGAACAACCTTTACTGACTTAAGTGGATGTTGTTTTTTGTCTTGGGGATGAAAAAATTGACCCTTACACACCCACCTCCATCACCGTGTCTCGCAACCACGATCTGCTGGCCGGCATAAGCGTCTGCTCCGCTTCCAAGGTGCGGCCGGACAACACCTTGATGTGGTTCTGCATGTAGGAGGCCACTGCGTCCCAAGCCCTTGTGTGGCAGTCCTGCAGAATGGGATTCAACATAGAATATATTTATATTATAAATTTGTTTATTTATTTATACTGCCCACCATCAATTTTCACTATTTCCTATGGGGTGCAAGATATCATGAAGGATGTGATGTTTTGAAGAACCCGAAGCGCCATAAAAGGATGGGAATATCATTGAAGATTGAATTTTGATTTTGGGCATAATGTTTGTTTGTCCTCCAGCTGCTTGACCAACTTGGCACGTTGACGGACACCTTCTTTCTCAGCCCTCGGAGACGGCATGGGGTAAGAACATAAAAAACCTTGGACCCCCCAACTGGTGTAGCACCAAGCAATTCCCTGTGCTGTGTCCAGGTCCTCCAAAAAGAAAAAATGTGGGCCAACAATTTGCAACATGTAAGGGGTTTGACTTTGAGCTTCAAAATCCAAAGAGAAGTTGTAGGCAAGATTCAACACTTTGTCCGAAGAAAATTGAGCTTGGTCCGCCCGGAGTTCCTCAACCCATGCGTTGAATGCTGCCTGCATGCTCCGCCGCAGGGCATTCTTGCTTTGATCCTGGTGCTTCTCCACGTATCCAGCAAGGCTTGTGCCATGGGCCTACAGGGCCATTGCAGCATGCCAAAAAGAATCTCGAGGGCAATTTGGTTGAGATACGATATTGATGATAATTGTTGTACTAAACTGAAACTTCTTAGCAAAAAGCAAAGTGGGTTTGCACCAACAAGCCTCCAAGATGAAGCTCACCCGGTTCCAGTCAAAGTCTGGCTCCCCAGCTTTCATCACTGAAGAAAGATCTGAATCCAAATGCCTCAGATCACGGCATCTACGTACATGGTAATTAGGAGGACATACTACTCTATAGTTTAAATATAGATTTATTGTGTGTATATATATATACTATATACTATATGATATGAATATACGTATATATATATATTATATTATATATATATTTATGTGAGATATATACACATTATATATATATATATATTATTTACTTTTAACATATTAACATACATATACACAAATAATAAATGTATAAGATAATGTATATATAAATTTAAAATATAACAACATATTATAACTATAATATTATATTATACAATTTGTATTCAACATAATAATCCGCCGGCCTGCCGGCGTGTTTTGTGGACGTTCTTGTGATGCATCTTGTGATAGCTTTAGCTTCACCTATAGTTGCTCCTTCGACAGATTTTTGCTTTCGCTGTCCTACCCCCCACCCCCCATTCTCCCCCCGCCCCCTAGTATCGCATAGTAAAGTCTAGTCTGGTAACGCCAAGTTCAGTAAAGGCTAGTATGGTCTAGTATAGTCTCGTGTCGTCTCGTCTCTTTTCTGAAGCTACCTAGCACTGACCTTATTTACATCATCATTGTCTCGGTGGTCATCGTCACCACCATCATCATCATCATCATCATCATCGTCATCGTCATCATCATCAGGTTCATCTTCTTCTTCCGGCTCGCCCTGGGATGAAGCATTTTTCCACTTTTTCTCCACATTTTACAGCCCGTTCTCGCACATGCGATGCAGCATTTCTCCATGATCCCCTTCCAGCCAGAAGTAAATATGTTCTAACCTGCCGCTTTTGCGCCCAACACTTTCCATACGCGCCTGCCACTCCTGCTCTTCCTCTGCATTCACGGCCTTCACCGCATGCCCTCTCACAGCCATGCCGCTTGCATGTACCAACTTCGCTCTTTTCTGTTTAACACCTTAAGGTCTTACACACGCCAGCCAAACAAACAAACATTTTCACCAGCCAGCTTTTACACCAACCAGCTTTTTACACAAACCCATTTTTTTACAAATTGGCTTTTACACCAACCAGCTGTTACACAAACGAGCTTTTACACGCACCAGCTTCTACGCAAACCAACTTTTCGACCAACCAGCTTTTACACAAACCACGTTTTGCACCAACCAACCTTTACACACCCATAATTACACAAACCAGTTTTTACACAAACCAGCTTTTGCACAAACCAACTTTTGGACAAACCACCTTTTACGCAAACCACCTTTTACAGCGAGCAGCTTTACACAACCCCTGCTTTGGGCCTGTAAGCCAAGGGCCAGAGGGCCGGCGGAATGCCGAAGGCTGTTACATGTATGAGGGATGTATATTCAAGAATTATATGATAAGTGATGCATTTAATATCATCGTGATAGTTATTTCCGAAATTTACGCATGGTACATATCCATTAAAAAAAACACATCAAACTTTACCCTTGGATTCCAACTTAAAAACGCGACGCGGTTTCCAGAAACCACATCACGATATCAGCCTTTTCCAGGCTACCCATGATTGGGGGAATTGATTTGGACATGCTTGGAAATGATTGCCCCCCTCGAAAGCCAGCAATTTGCGACGCGGTTTCCAGAAACCACATCACAATCTGAAGTTATTTTTTCGATCCCAAAAATGATTGACCTGGCTGGCCAAATTTTTTCGGCCAGACCATCAGATTTGCGACGTGGTTTCTGGAAACCACATCACAATTTGTCACCTTTGGCCAAAAAAATTCGGCAACCAATCACAATTTTGTCCCCTTGGCCAAAAAAATTCGGCAACCAATCACAATTTTGCTCCCTTGGCCAAAAAAATTTGGCAACCAATCACCCTGTTCTTCAAAAAAATGGCAACCAATAGTTAGTTTAATCCTGCAGCGCTGTAGGCTCTTAGCCAAAGCATTTGAAAATTTTGGGACCCTGGCCCAACAGGAAAACTGCTTTGCCGTGTGAAGGTAAGCAACCCTTCATCAAATAGTTTGTCGTGCTTCTCCACCACCTCCCCGTTGAAGGTAGTTACCATCTTCTTCCGCATCCAAGTCCACAAGCAGCAGTTGTCAAACAGCACCAGGTGCGCATCTTCCGACAATTGGTGTTGTTTCTGGCCAGGTGCCCAAAACTGATTATTATTCAATGTTGTGTTTTCTAAAGAACAAGAAATGCAGGGGTTGTTTGAAACCCCGTCCTTCGCTTTGACGGTGGCTTCCCTGGATGCCCTTCTGGAAAAATCCTGGCACGGCTTCGAAATCCGCCCGCACCGAAGGTGCTGAGGTGTGGTACAGTTTAGCAGTGGGTGCGACCGGACTGGGTGTTCGCCCGGGCGCCGCCAAAAGTCGGTTCCCCGATTTCCCGCTATAGTACTTTGCACATTTTGCAGATCAGCCCAAAATCCGCCAAATGCACCGTGTCGATCTGACGGCCGCAACATGGGCTCCACTGGGGCCAACTTCGGCCAACAAGGCCTCAACCCAACTTCGGCCCAACTTGGAAGGAAAATGGTGCAACTTGCCCCCAAGTGGAACCTGTTTGAGAGCAACTTCGGCCCAAGTATCGTCAAAACACGCGTTTTCACTGGCATCCATGATGCTTAGTGTTGAGGCTGTCACCACAGGATACTATAACTCGTGCCACTTTGGACGTGACTTGGGCCTCCATGCGCTTCAGCCCAATTGGCTGCAGATTGGGCTCCAGTTGGGTCGAAGATAGCTCAGCTTGAACCCAAGTTAGGTTTTTTTTGGGAGGCAGCCCAGGCCAAAGGTGGGAGCCAATTTTGCGGACTCAGCGACTCAGCGACTCAGCGATATTTTTTTGGCTTGGATGGGGGCCCGTGACCAAGCCATGTTGCCCACATTGGGCCGGTCTTGGGCCCAACTTCTGCGACAGGACCAAGTTGCGCACGTTAAGCCCAACTTGCGTCTAAATGTGCCCGCATTGCGCCATGTTGGACCTTGGTTGGGCTGAAGTTGGGGCCAACTGGCCCAAGTTCGGCGCAAGTTAGGCCCCAAGTCGGGCCCAAGTGGGCTCCTTTTCAGCCAAACTTAAGACCAAGGACGGCCAAGTTTTTTGACCCAAATCAGCTTTGGTTGGGCCAGGTACTCTCTATCCAGTTCTCTGGGTGTGGGTGCTTGGGAATCCAGGAAAACTCATATACAGGAAAACCATGCAAAGACGCTGCATGTGGTGTCCTGAATGACACGGTCAAAGTACATCATGGTGATCTCAGGTGTCACCTCCAAGATTTCCGCAAAGATTTCTTTTCCCCGATATCGATCGAATTCCTTCCGGGAGCAAGAGCCAGGAACAAAGTAGTCTGCCTGCAGCAGCTCATGGGGTACTCCTGTTCAGGGATCGTTTCAGATAGACCTTGGCCCCCGACATGGTGTTTTATTTTTTGAACACAAGGTAGACCAAACCCAGCATGTGCCCACAATTATTCTCTCCTGAATTCTCAGCCTTGTAATGATCATAATGCTGATGCAGCTTCGTCAGCAAGGCAGATGGGCACCGCATCCTGGATCGTGCAAGCTGTCAAGGCCAGAAAGCTCAGTGGAGTTGGACCAGGTTGGAAAATCCCAGGGAAATACAAACCATTTGAAAAAGGCATAGTAAGGCTAAGCTTTTCCCTAGGGTCAAGTTGAGGGCCAAAGCTTTCCGGGCAGAGTCTAAGCGGTGTTTCTTGTTGGAAGCAAACCTGTTGTACTCTGCTACAATTTTGTTCAACATGTCCCGCAGGGGAGTATTTTTTTGGAATGCGTTTGGCGTCGCTGGAGATCGATTGCGTGCTGCAGCTCTGCAACTATTTGCACCGGTGATGGCCCTTGTTTCTCTGCAGACACATAGCCCGTTTCTTAGCATTCAAGGAACTGGCCACAAGAAAGAGCCTAGCACATTGTAAAACAGGTTGTTGCCCAAAACTTGCCTCGGGACAAAGATGAGGGTACAATAAAAACATTGAAAGATGATAGAAAAGGATCTGAGCGAATGGAGGAAGAAATGGGCTGGGTTCTCATAGTGCTGGTAGCTGCAGCGGAGCTGGGAGAAGCTACCTAAGACCATTCGAAGTTGCGGATCAGAAAGTTCGTCCCTGCCAAAGTCCAACTCCTTCACCATCACCACGATGGTCATCATTATGATGATTTTGCAAAAACCATCAGTGACTCCCACCGTGAAATCGCCAATCTCTCGCGAAGAGCTTCGCAATGGAAACTTGCACTCAATGTTGCCGATGCTACTCTTGTACCCATTCTGCAAAAACTCTGGAAAGTGAATGGCCAGCTGCGTGTTGGATGGAAAAACTGCAGGGTCACGAAGTTGAAACTCAGAAACTGGCAGCGAACCAATATAAATAGTTGGTTCAACCAATTAAAACCATTCCACACTTTAGATGTTTTTTTGGTCATAGCCCGGACATCCGTTCTTTCCAGCTGCTGAGTAGTCAAAACTTCTCAGAGGCAGCCAAAACTCATCCATGGTGTCGTTGGGGGTCATGGTGAGGAATGCTCTGCTCAGCTGCGCTGTTGGATTGGTTTCCACAAGCTCCCCAATGGCCTGAACAACCATGCTCCCCAAACTTAGCTCAGGGTAAGGGTAAATGAAATAGAAACCAGCAGGATAATTTTTGAGGACCCTGCAGCTGCCATCTTCGCTTTGTCTTTGAAAACCGACGCTACGTGTTCCCCAACATTCTTCTCAGCTGCAACCTCGGATCCAAATAGAAAGAAAATGGCCCATTGGCGGATTGGATTGAAACCCAACGCATTCAATTTTCAAAAAGGAACTGTGTCGAAATAGGCTCGAAGTTGACCAATGGGGCCAGCTTGGCCTTCCGACTCACCCTCCATCTTGAAATCAGGGGCGAGTCCGCACCAAAGTGAAAAGCTCACATTGAGCCAATGGACGAAGCAACACCTACTAGATTCTAAAGGGATAAGAAAGCATCATGCCCATGGACTTGCGGCTGTCATGTGATTGAAAATTTCATCTTGAACAGTTGAAGCTTGAAAAAGCATTTTTTAAAGACTGCTTTGCACCCCAGCAGTTAACTTCACACACGAGCACGGTGAAAAACAACCTGGAGCTCGTATGGCTTGGGAACGCGGGGCCTTTGGCCAATCCCAACTGCACCCCAATCACGGCGACCGTCTGTGCTTGCACGACGGAGGAAAGTCAGCTGCGGCACACCCCCAGGCTCACGTGAAGCAGAGGCAATCATACTTTCATAGAAACTTGCAGCCCGGGTCAAATGAGGAAAGTCTTTCCCCATGGCAAACTTCAAAGTACGGAGTTCATCCCGCCTATCACTTTCAAGATGGCAGGTTTGAACCGGGCATTGAGGATCATTGGCCCGTCTCAACATTTGCTGGCTCTGCTGAAGGAAAGAGCCAGGAAGACACAACAAGGGAGCCTGGCACAGGCCATCGGTCGCCATGCGCTCCTTCACCATACAAAACACATCATCCATCACATCTTCTGACCGCAAGGCTCTGGGGACGCGGTCACTCAATGCAAGATCTGGCCCTTGGTTCGGAAGACCTGCCGCAGGAGAGAAACATTCCGATCGATAGTATGCAAAATACTGATTGCTCTTGGTTACTGATGTAGCAGATTCAAAACAATGCGAGTGTGTAAGTTGGAACAAGTTTACCTTGCCTGCCCTGGCCATGAAAGTGAACGACTGGGGCAGCGGGGTTTTGTCCTCATCATCAATCCACTTCCGGGCTCGGAAAGCATTTTTGAAAGTGACTCCACCAGGTAGAATAGAGACCCAATCGCGTACCTTAGACCATGGGTGAAAACACGGGCAAAACTCGGAAGAACACAATTGGGGCCAAAATATGACTTAAATCTGAGCGAAGTATGACAATCAAATTGTTTCTACATCCTAGTCACAGTGTCAACCACCTCAATAGAGAACACCTGGTCCTTGTTCCTCCAAAGGTGCCCTAGTTTGGAATCAATCCGTTTGACCACATCCATCGGCGTTTGCAAGCATTCGGACTGACATGTCCTCAAAGCCACTGCCACTAGGGAAAATATGGCATCTATGTCTTCGTGGGTGTGGCCGACTTGCAGGTGGTGGCATGATGCCACCCCCCACAAGCCGGCCTGAACCATACTCGTCAACATTTTCGCCCCATACTGGTTACGAAGCTCCTTGACGGTGTTATCGGATTGGAGCCATAGCCTTAGATAGACTTCTACTTACAAGGGTTTGCTAGCTAGATCGGGAAATGCCAAATTTCAAAACTAACAGCTATATTCCAAGTAACTCCTTTGCAAACGGTGAATTTCGTGCCCGGGATCTCACCCAGACTCCTTCGCAAGCTCTCATGACCTAGAAACAGTGGCCAGGAGGATCTGCCCCAACCCAGTAATGTCAACTACTTATTACTTGACTTCAGAAGCCCGATCTGTCACCAAATTGGTGCCAAGAGACGCATTCCCAATTCCAATTGCTACCAGCACTCATCCCTTCCTGGGCGGATAGAAACATCCAACATCCAACTCCATGGCAAAGAACCGCCGTGAGAACCAATGATGCTCCTCGGCAACACGAGTGAGAAACAATGTTTAAAAACCAACTGTTTGGCCTGAGCATTTTCTCCCGTGTGCCCAAATCCTATCCCCATGTTTGTTTTCTTTTTTCTGCAAACAATTGATCAAGGTCACTGTTGATTGTTTCGTACACGGTTCTCTTCGGGGTTCTCCGTAGGGGCCATGCAGGGAGCTGCAACTTCGATCTATCGAAAGAGTCAACTATCATGCATAGTATGTCACCCTCTGTCGACGATCTAGCCCTTGCCGCCCAGTAAACCAATCGATCTTTGTATTGGTCTGAGTAGTGGGAAAGCAATTGGTTGCAAAGCTTGGCATGCTCATCGAAGTCCTTAGCTAGAGAGCTGTCTCCAAGTTTTATGAAGGTGGTCATCATCGTCAAAAAGTAAAAAAAAAAGTGGTCATCATCGTCAAGAAGCATTTAGACGGTGCGCACTTGGAAGCTAAATTTAAACAACTGAGATCAGTTCGCTTGCATTGTGGATGGCCGTCTTCAACGTCTGACATGTCACGCACATCGCGTGTTGGGATTTTTTCCTAAAGCGCAAAGCTGGAGACCAGGCCTTGAACACATTGTAAAATGTGCTCTTGCCGCATGGCTCAGAGGTACCGCTATGGCCTACCTTGCAAAAAGCAAGGTACATGACATACAGGGACGCTGTTGTGCCTGGGGGCAGCTCTCTCACAGGCAATTTTGTGGGGTCCATCGATTCCATAATTTCCACCGTAGGACCCGTCAGCTTGCGATGGATCAGTTTTTTGAGAAGCTCCTCTTTCAAGTGCTCCTCTTCACGGGAAAAGGCTGCATCAGAACCGGAAACAAACCTGAGAGTCACACTTCAGCTAGGCAGGGCTAGTTGAAATTAAGTAGATCAACCCAACCCTGACCAAATAATTGTAAGTCAAGTCTCTCCGTTGGCATTGACTCAGCAGCTGTATGATAGAGATGGCTGAAGAAGGAGTGGGCCGACGAGCTCTGTACGGCAGCTCGTGTGGTTTCACCTAAGTTTTTTGAATGCGCCCCGTTGTGTTTTAGAATTCGCGTGCTGTTTTCTAAGGCACACTGGCCCCCCCTCAAACAACAGACATTGCTGCCATAGATCTTTGGTTCAGGGTTCTGTCGTCGATCCCATGAAATGCACGTTTAGTACGTTCCAGGCGCTGCTTTCCAATCCCCAAGTATCGAATCCAGGCCATACGGCATAGTGGGTATCCTGCAAAGAACCGGATGTCAAATATATATATATATATAATAAATTATAATATCTATATATATATATTTATTAATATATTATTGTATTGTTATTTGGTATATTTATATATAATGAATATAATAAATATCAATATAATCTAGTTTTTTTATAATATATATATATATTATTTATATATATATATATCTTTTATAGATAATGAAGCATGTCAGTCTTACGCAAAACCCTTGTTTGACTATAGGTCCTTCAATCATCCACTTCCTTTTCGATGAACCTGATCCAACCTGTAGGTTCCATAACAGAGCGTCTTGGCTCTGCTTGGGCAGACTCCAAAAGCTTCGGCAGGTCTTCTTCAAAATGTCCGCTGGCAGCCGACACCCGCAGTCGCAAGGTGGCGTCTTCAGTAGAGCAGTAATCCGTGCTGGGTCAAGTGCGTGGACTGCAAACACAGATTGATCACTAGCTTCGGTCAAGGAATGCAAAGCATCGATGGCACCAACTCTCAAATCTACAGTGGACCGATGCACAGTTGGCGGCCCTGACTCATCATCTTCTGTCCTAAGTCTGGGGTAGGATGGCTGATTTTGGTTTACCTTTTTTTCCTCACTTGATGTGAATCCTACACAAGCCTACTTCTTGGATCCAAGAATCTCAGAACCTCCCCCGCAAGTATTCGAACCTGAAGATTGGTCATCTGAAGTCTCATCATATCGCCAAAGCGCCTGCTGAGGCCGTAGTTCATTTGCATCAGCATCATAGCGGCTCAGGACAGGCATGGCCAAAATGGCCAGAAGCGGGTTTGATACCCTGGGAATGCTGTGAGGAAATCTGAATCTGTGGGATATCTCCGTGCGATACTTTGGAAAATCATATTTTGTGATATCATTGCAAATCAAAAAACACATGACTATCATCCAACCGTTTTTTTCCCTTAGTTTCTCATGTCATCTGTGGGTGATAGGTGTTTCGCCGCCCATCTAGTCTACAATGTAGCCCCTGACGTGGTGTGGATTCACACTCCTAAGGGCAACTGCTACCGCGAGCATCACACATCGAATAGCCATTCCATTCCCTGCAAGTTGGAACAGTTCCTCGGTTGGGAAGAACGATCCAAACATGAGAAGATGATAGAAGATGGGCACCTATAATCTATTGTTGATAAGATAAAGCCACCAATCATAGTTTATGCTGGCTAGGGTCTTTGTCCTTGAAGCAATCGGTGTGAAGGGAATCAACCGGCATTCCGTGCAGGATCAGGGCCTCAAATCCTGAGATTTGCAGCGTTTGAGATGCGGCGGCTGGCGGCGGCAAGTCACTTTAAAAACTTTAGTTCAGCTGAGCTTCCTGTCAAGTAACGGCTTTGGCACCCCAAGAAGTAACTTCCATTGGGCCTCAACTAGTTTACAAATCATAAATGGCAAACCCGCTAGGTATGACTTCATTGATTTTTTGATTGCTGCATATGACTGGGCTATTTCAATGAACATTCTAAGATATGGACGTAAGGCATGGCAATGGGTCATCCCCAATCGAAAGAGGCATCCTGTGAAGCATTTGGCTGGTGTTGAGGCAGCCGATGTCATCCCCATGTTTCATAGTCAAAAGGTCCAAGGCCTCACAGAAGGTTGAAACAAATTTCGCCAAACCCCATGACTGAAACAAACAAAATGGAGAGAGAACAAGCCTCCAGCTCTCTGTGGGTTGTGATCTGACTGGCTCCTCCGGGAAAGGTTCGCCGAAAGGAACCTTTCGCTGGCCCCGCCTGATGCATGGAAAATTCAAAGGTTTTAGATGAGAATGGACAGGTGGGTAAACTAATGGCACTCAGTTCAGTTCATGTTGGACTAGCAGGCCTTGATTCCATTTCGTTTGGCCCAAGTCTTGTGAACCTTCTTCCATTTGGCTCCCGAATCATCCCGCCTCATGATGAAGGTTTACATTTTGTGAATGCATCATCAACCAGTGGGAGAATGCCACATAGAACATCAAAAACAGGTAAATTCATATCAAGCTAAGGGACTTGACAAAGAAAAAACTCTTCCTCCGATTGGAACGCTGCCCCATCACCTCCTGAACAAGAGGGTGATTCTTCTCGAGCAAAAGATCCTTCCTTAGCTATGTGGGTCCCCAGCTCTGGCCCCCGCAGGCATCGAGGACAATCAGTGTTAATTGGGTTTAAAAACAGTGGCAAGAAGCCAGCGCACGTCCGGTTCACATTGCAGCTGCCCGCAAATCTTCTCACAGAAAGCTGCAAAATTGGATTTGGCAGCTTTCATCATCAATTCCTCCCTCACAAGAAGAATGTACAGCCTCTTCCGAGAGACTACATGTCCATAGTCTTTCCTCAGCAGTAATAGTTGGTTTCTGAATGGGATGTATGTCCAAAACGGGTTCCAAATGCGAATGTTTAAATCTGAGGACTCAGTAATTCGACTAGAATTAGAATTAGGCAACCAAGGGGCGCATCTAGCTCCAAGAAAGCCGATTTGTACCTTGGGCCCCACAAAAAATTGACGGTGTCAAACAGTTTCGGGGCATAGTAGGTTGAAAATTGCTACCAAGTAACTCAGGCAACTTCTCGTTCAGGAGTTTCTGAAACTCATCCTTGACCCGGTTGAAGCCAGGCACGTTCTCCAGCAATCCCATCTTAGTTTTGTAGGCCATGCGCTGGTTTGTTGAAATATCGAACATCATCTAGCATAACATGACTTGATAAAGTTCCATCATCACTGCATGACTTGGTATAAACATTACATGCTGCAAGTAGCTGCCGGCTGGCAATCCTTAATGTTGTCGAGCACGCGGTACATCTGACGAGCTTCTTGTTCTTGTAAAAGTTGCGAACCCCAGTGTAGAAGGCTAAACGGGGTGCAGGGAAATCCTGCCCCGTATAGGCATACCTCCAAAGCAAAGTCTGCCGGGTGCTGCATATATAAATTCACTGACTTGCATGTAATTAATTCAGGCGTGAAGCGCCTTGCGACGCAATGGCCTGTAGTTCGTTGCAAAGATATCTTCGCTTGACCTTGGGTTTCCAGAAAATAACACGGTTGACATGGTTGGCAACTTTTATTTGGGAGGCTTTGCATGTTCTCCCAGTACGGGCCAATGCAAGTGAGTAGCCCATGCGTCGGTAGTGGGTGGTTCAGCTCAAGATACTTCCTGGCAGTTGCGTCACGCTCGCTGTTGCACCTTAAGGGTGGCTTGCCAGTAGCGCTTGCGCAAAACAGGGGGAGCGAAACAGGATAAAAAAAAGCAGGGGAACCTGAAACATTTGTTTGTGCTCAGGGGCATGTAGGTCACAAGGTTGCTCTTGTTCGCCGGGAACAACATCTTGAGAGCGGTCAGTGGGGTATCCATACCAGAGCCTGAGTTTGAACAACAACTCACACTTCAAAAGATTTTGGGTTCTGGCATGGAAAACAACAGCCAAGTGGCAGTCTGAGGCATAGGTGAAATTGCCTCCCCAGTGTCGGAAGAACCAATCCAAGCCTCAGCTCCGGCGATCCAGGGGGTTGAGACCTATTTGGAACATCCTCAACATTTGACAAGTAACTGGTCTCACGTCGAAACCTTTCCCCGCAGTAGATGTAGGCAAACTGCTCCACAGAAAGGGATATGTATCTTTCCTCCACAGGGATGTGGACATAAAATGATTTCCCTGACATGAGATCCCCCAAGCTAGTGGCAGTCCTCTTCAACATCTTCATCAGATGAACAATAGCGCCACACAGCCATGGCACAGCATGGAAGCCAGGAAAGAGCCCCAATGGCAGCTGATTGTAGCGGGTAAAAACCTCCAAACCTAAGCCCCAGATACTAATCGCAAAAGCCCTGGTTACAGCCGGAAGCAGTTAGTCTTAACCAGATTCCATAGAGTTTTGACCAGCATGTTGAAATCCAAAATAATGTTTCGGCGATTGTGTCCCAAAATAACCCACAGTTCATCGGCGACAGGATCTCGGCGAAAATAGGTCAAAAAACATAATACTGTCGGCGATATGGTTTCGGCGAAATCTGAGGAAGGTTCTGATGCATATAAATCTCAAAAATGATTCCAGATTGCGTCAACAGTGCAGTAAAGTGAAATTGTCAAAAAAACGACGCGGAGGTTCTCGGGTTCAGCCTCTTCCCATTCCAGTAAAATTGGCAGGTACGTCAGAAAGGCGTCCCTTTCTGATATCACAGATCAAGGCAAGTGTCTTTGTTAGCGCCAGACTTGCAATGATCCCTGGCACCCCCTGCAAATTAGTGAAAACCAATAAGAAGTTTTACATCTGTTCAGATGGTACACACACACACCTCGCATGTAGCGAGGTTGGATTTTTTGGAAGAACTTCGTTGGCGGAATCGGCAATACACCAGTGAAAGTGAACCTGTAAGAGCCTAATGTACAAACGGGCGATCACTTCAATCAGAAGAGGAATTCGGAGCTTGTAGAAGGACTTCGATAGCATCGTGGAAGCTCATACGTTCAACCATCGCCCAAGTCTGATCGAATTCCCCAGATGCCGTAGCAGCCTTCAAGGTATCAGAGAGATCTTTGGCTAATTCATGGAGCCGGGTAGTTAGGCTCGGTTCATCTGCAGGAGATGTCGTCTCAATGGGCACATTGTGAAAAGGATGGTGTCCGTGTACAAGGGGAATCTCGAAATGATGTCGCCAATAGTCCGCTGTACGCAGGGACCACTCCCAGTTGCCCGAAAGACCATAAAAATAGTGTTCAGGGTCACGACATCGGGAATGCCCTAACAAGGGGATCTCTTCAATGAATAGCTCCCTGGTGTTGTTGGAGTGGGTAATGACCTTGAATTGGATCTGGTGAACCACGCGAGAAGAGAATTGAGCACGATGGAGGTAGTTGTGTGCAGAACTTGACTCCGTCGGAAACGGGACGCCAGGAGGTGCTGGTCCTGAATATGTATCAGGATGGGCAATAGTACCCGTGTCAGGAGCCGTACTGTCAATGACCAAAGGTGCCGACGTAGGGCTGGTAGTAGTGTCAGGAGGGCCTGAGTGACATAGTGCAGAAGTCTGGGCGTCTGATACTGGAGCTGGGTTGGTAGGAGCGAGTCCACGGGTAGGGTTCGAAGGCCAAGACAAGCCCGCCACGGTCGCGTCTCGTTTGTGTTCCATGGGTGAAACTGTCAGAAATGCGAGAAATAGTGCAACAACGGCTGAGGCATCAAGAATAACAAATATAAGCCAATCCCGAAAAAGATAGCATTCACAATGATAATAATAAAAGTGAAGTCCAGTCCTCAATCAAGCGGTTCAATGACGGCGGAGAAGCCACAGCTCAAAGTCAAATAAAATAGAAATCAAAGAATCCCTTGGGTTGGTGAGGTGTCAAGGGAGAGTTGAAAACCCTGCAGTATGGTCTTTTTTGGCCGGCTAGCGTGTCAGGGCAGGATCACACCGGAGCTAATTTTGTAGCATTGCAGACGTAGTACAAAAGGTTGTGCGGTACCCGGAATGAGCAAAGAGGATTCGCGGGAATTGTACTGCCGAAGTCGCCATTCAGGTCGGTATTCATCCAAAAGCTGCAAGATCGTCATATCATTGGAGACTTGGAATGTATCACCGTCCAGGTCGCAAAAGCGAAACTCCAAATTCGAGGGATCAAGTTGGATGTCCCATTGGGACCTCAATCTTTTGGAAATACAGAAGCGTAGTTCGGCAATTGGGATGAGGCCGGCTTCAACTGGTTCCATCTGACGCGACCAGGTAAACAGAGCCTCCAGTTCGTAGCCACTAACATTTCTGAAATTGGAGC